AGATTACACTTTCCTCAATGGGTAGCAGATAGAATCTCTGTTTTGACTGCTTCATTCTTTGTATATCGTCTGGTAGTTGTTAGTTGACAAAACAATGTGCAGTCGTAATCCATATGAAGGTGAATACGTGATTGTCAACCGCTCCATACTGGCAGTTTCATATAGCGGTGACCGAGGCTATGGGTGTGTGCTGGGAACCAAGTGTGGTGAGACGTGTAGGCCACTGTAACTGATCACGACTGCACCCATTTCTACGACTTGCAGACGACGCCAGAGCTCTGCGGCTTGGCGTTTTGATGAGCACCCACTGTGCAAGGAGCAGACAAACTTCAGCCTTTCTGTCTACCCACTATATATCCTCTAATTAAAGCTTGGCTCTGTGATGTGCCCTCTGCGCAAGAAGCAGACATACCTGCCGGTCATATGAGCGGTCTTCTGCTTTAGCCTCTCGAAATAGTCCTCGTAGCACGGCTGACCATGTTTCTGTGTGTTTCGTTAAGCTCTTGGATTGGGAACTCTTTATCATCACAGGATATGACTGCTTATCTCTTTTCAGTGGTGAGCTGCTGTTATCATTGCTCATTGGATAGCCTCTACTTTTGTTTGTTATCATTGATATCTTGAGCTCGGGGTAGGTTTTGTTCAGGTATTGTTTGTAATCACCGATGCAGGCAAGCAAACACTTGGTTTTATGGAATTGATGGTATTTTCAGAGATAAACTTTTTCCCTTGGGAGTCGGCCTTGTTTTGAGCAAACCTAATGCTGCTGGCCATGCAGTTTTTCAAAAGTTGTGCAAAGGGAATGTTTTCTGGAAGCAACAGCTTTGTGCCATCAAGTATCTTTTGGCTTTGTTATGTCCCGGCATAAAAATATTATCCAATAGGCCCTTCTTGCAGTCTTGTTTGGGCTCACCTGAAGGTCTGTATGTTTTGCATGTTTTCGGAGAATTCTGTGCATTGCCTTACGCTTAAAGCGGATGACACTTGGCTTTCCAAATACATATTCCATGCAGGCTTTGCTTCTAATTGTCTATTTCTTTCGCCCTTCCTTTTTTTGTTTCTAGGTCTTTGTCTTCAAGTTATTGGGCATAATTTATGTTGCTGTACTATGTATGAGCATAATCTGGCCAAAAGCACAGGGAGCCTATTAAAGCAACACAGTGACGCACATGACAGCTCTACTTAGAAGGAGTCTGCTTTAACATTACGTCGTAACATGCCTCTCTCCAATGCCTTGATTGGCTCACTGGGGCTTCAGCTTTCACTGTATGCCTAGTTACACTGAAATGGTTCATGCCTAGCAGATTGACTTCCATAAAGTCATATCCTCATTACCAGCAGCTGTTTGCTTGTGTTTTTTCATGGAAACAGGAAAGCCTGAGACTAGCTGCACCACAAGCAAAAATTTGGGAGGGACCTTCATGACACTTGCTGTACCGCTAACTATTAACACGGAGGTCGAACTGTGGGGGTGCTTTGTCTTGTTTGATTTTCCACCAAGCTCGGGTGTTTGCCCAACAGAAGGACTGTGGGCTGACATTATTCCGTCATTTACACCGATCGAGCGCAGTGCATAGATTTTACACGAGTGCTGCGGCTGGGGCTCACATTCAATTGGTGCTTCACTGATTGAACACAAGCCCCAGCAGACCACTGGTGCAGCGTTTGGCTACGTCAGCCGAGCACTGCGTCAGAAACACAAAAACAAATGTGCGACGGTCGGATCTCGTCCTTAAATAGCTGGACCTCATTAGGGTGCACGGAAAGCGTCGCCGACCGGCGCGTTTAGTGTCCCATTCCGTCGGCGCATCGAAAGTGGTTCCGGGGTGGCAACAAATGGCTTCACAGAAGCTGGGGCGTCGTGCCGTCGGATGTCGTGATCCTAGTAATCCGGCCTGTAAGTCCTGGGAAAAAAAAGCGCCTGAGAATGCGAGTGTCGCCGTCATTGCGGCGTCCCTCTTCCTGACTGGGGAAGCTTCCGCGGACTGTGAAGCTGGAAGGTAACCTGCAGTGGGAGGGGCACCTGCTGTGTCCATCACCGCCGTTGTGATGCCTCCAGGATCCCTGCCGGCGACAGCGTGACAGTAGTATCCGGGGCTGGCATTGGGTAACGTGGGACCTGGGCTAAAAAAAATAAAGAAGAAATGACTAAACAAAGTGTGAAGAAAGGGTGGACAGTTAGATATGTGCAAGATAATTTAAATTATACGTCCTATCATTTTATATGGTCACATTTGGTTGTCTTCAAATGGAAGAACTACAAGTATAAAAAATAAATAAATGTTCTCAAATTAGGGACATGCTGTGAGCATGCGCACGAACGAAGAATACCCGAATCAGCGAATTTGCTGGAGTATAGTACAAAAAGCTGATACGGCGTGTACACTACCATAAAACACCATGGGGAGTGCCCTTCACACCTTCCCTGAAAACTGGATTAATCTAGGTATGGGCGCTTGTCCGGTCTAATCAAACGCCCAAAAAATGCCTGAAAGAAAAAAAAAAGTTTTTTTTTAAACAGTCTGGTTACGCTTGTCAAAAAATTATTTTAAAGCAAAAAAAAAAAAAATTTTAGAGCAACATTAACGGCGCGAAACGCGACTTAGTCGGTAGTCACCCCCTTTCCACTTGTTTTCTCTCAGCATTTTGGGCACGTGGAGGAGAGGAGGAGAGGTGGATTGGGTTCGCCTTCGTGTTGAGGTGGAAAGAGCAAATTACCATCTCGTTGAGTGAAGGACCATTCCGCGACGTCATGGACCTCAATATTGGTCTAATTTTTTTTTTTTCGTGTAAATTTTATTTTTTGACACGCATATCCCAACCAGACTTTAAAAAAAAAAAGATTTTTTTCTTTTGAGGGACCCTTTAATGTATAATTTGCAAGATTCCCAGATTTATAACACATTAATGGTGGGTGCTTCTGTGGTATTTTAGAGTATATAGACCCGCTTCGCAAGGGTGCCGCCATCTTGGAATATCGTCACTTCCAGTATGGGCGAAAACATTGTTTTGCCGTTGCCATGCCTATAGAATACATTTAGGATATGAGCGTGACTGTCACCCCTTCTTGTTTTGCCTCCCCTCTATCTTTTTACTATTTGCAGGCTTAAATTTTGGATTATAATGCAATTAAATGCAAAGGGGCAAACGAGCTGGACAAGGAATGACGAAAATAATCCCTGAAGATGTTTTATTATTTCTTTGTCGCCCGTATCGGATATTTCTACCAGGCGGCTGGGGACGAGAGTAGATGAAAAAAGTGAAAGCTGCTTACAACTCCCTGTAACGCCGAATTGGAGCGCAGCTCTTGAGGAGGAGGAGGGAAGGGCACTGGGGGGGGGGGGGGGGGGTTAAACTAACCAGGGGGGGGGGGGTCACGTGACCCCCGATGCCGATGATGTAGTCACTGATGACGTCATCATCGACGATGACGATGCGGGTACCGATGACGTCATTAGTGACGTCACTGATGGCTTCACCAGTGATGATGACGATGACGATGCGAATGTCGGTGACGTCATCAGTGACGTCGCTGATGACGTCAACAGTGATGATGACGATGACGATGTGGATGTCGGTAACGTCATCAGTGATGATGACGATGACGATGCGGATGCCGGTGACGTCATCAGTGATGATGACGATGACGATGCGGATGCCGGTGACGTCATCAGTGACGATGACGATGTGGATGCCGGTGACGACATCAGTGACGTCACTGATGACGTCATCAGTGATGATGACGATGATGATGCGGATGTCGGTAACGTCATCAGTGATGATGACGATGACGATGCGGATGCCGGTGACGTCATCAGTGATGATGACGATGACGATGTGGATGCCGGTGACGTCATCAGTGATGATGACGATGACGATGTGGATGCCGGTGACGTCATCAGTGATGATGACGATGACGATATGGATGCCGGTGACGTCATCAGTGACGATGACGTCATTGGGGGTCACGCGACATCGGCGGGGGTCACGTGACCTCAGGGGAGTCACGTGACTTCGGGGGGTCACGTGACCTCGGGGGGGGTCACGTGCCCCCCACGAGGTCACGTGACCCCGGTGGGGGGCTCGCGCGGTGCATTATGGGACATTTCCCATGATGCACCGGGGTCACGTGACCTCGGGGGGTCACGTGCCCCCCCACGAGGTCACGTGACCCCGGTGAGGGGCTGGCGCGGTGCATTATGGGACATTTCCCATGATGCACCGCGCGGTTACGCCGACGCTGACGCCGACGCCGACGGCGACGCCGACGCCGCTCAAGCCGGAAACGGGCCCCTAAGAGCTGCGCTCTAAAAAGTCTATAAAGAGATCATAGTACACAAGGACGCTGCAATCTCAACATCAGCTCCGAGGGGAAGGAGGCGCGTGTATACTTCCCCTCACGGTGTGCAATAAGCTTATTGATGATGTCTACGGATTGACCTCGACGATCGACAAGACCAAAAAGTTTGAACCTGCACTGCAGCTACAACACAGTAACGTGACATGCCTTGCTCAGAAATGCCTTGCAGATTTCATTTTTATTCCAAACAATTTTTTTTCGACTCTGTTACCAAACAGGCGTGGCTTGTAGGGTGGTAGACAATTAGGACCTAAGTTGCAGGCCGTGCACACCCCAACTTCAAACGCAACCTTTCGTGCTTTTCTAGCCCTGAACATGTTGAACAGCATGAGGTAATTTTATATACCATTATGCGACAACCTGTCCAGAAACATGTTATGTACAACGAAAAGAGAAAAACTATTTGGTGTGATGTGAACTCGGAGCACCCCCCGAAAGCACAAGTCCGACCCAGATGTGATGGTTTCGTGTGTTGTTACTTGTTTCGACATTACACGAGTAAAAAATGACGGCCCTTTGCCCGTGAGCACGTCAGATACCGAGCCACACTTTGTTGACTGGCAGAGTTCCCCCGAAAATCGCCCTTGTTCTTGTGGATTAGAACCCCTCTGGACCATATTCTCGGCTGTCCCTGTCCCAGGCCTGCACACATGATGGCCGGAGGCCGTCCGTGACCCCCTGGGCCGTGCCTGCCGTGGGACAGCCATGTCCAAGAGCCGCTATGTGCTGCAAGTGCACGTGGGGGCCTTCAGCAACCTGTACGAGGCCCTCTCTATCGAGGCCAGCAAGCAGACGACCGCCTCGGACATCGTGGCCTGCATCGCCGAGAAGCTCGGTCTGTCCCTGCCCCGCGACCTCGAGCTCGCAGAGGTCGTCCACAACGCCAGCGGGGAGGTGGGTTGGTCTCGCCTGCTGCTCTCTTCTAGGCCGGCTTTCTAGAAGTCGCACTGTATGAAAGAAAGCACTGCCAAAGTCAGTGCCATGAGTTGAGTAGAACTGAACTTGCGTCTCAAAGCGCTTGCACACCTTGGCCTTTGCAGCGTTTTCTTGCACGGTGTCTCAGCTAAGAAGCTACTTCTAGCAAACTGATCGAGGTGTTTCGGGTGTTCGTGGGTGCTGTGAATCTCAGTTCATTTATGACCCATAGCTGTTACATTTATAACTTTAGTAACACTTAATAACAACTATGTACGTGCCGGCAATCGCAGTGCAGGCAGTGTTCGGCTGGTCTCTCACTTTGGCGTTGAGCCTCTGTTTGTTCTTGTTGAGATTGCTTCCTAGATGCAACAGTGAAGAGATGTTGGTGCCATTGGTGTATCGTGTACCACGAAGCTCACACGATGCATCTTTTGACTTGCAAGACTGTATTTCCACGAAACGGATGTGCTGTCCGAACAAGGTAAAAAAGACACATATCTCTGGAAAAGGATGCCCGTAGTTCTCGCTTTTGTAACAAGATTCTACTTGCAACTTGTCAGTCACTGTGATGCCAGCTTCCGGAGTGACTAGTTGTGGTCCGCGGATGCTGTCACGTGATGAGAAAGGCAGAGTGGGCTGCTATCTAACAAATGTATTTTGTTGAGCATAGATATGTTTTTGCACTGAGAAAATTTCTAAGAGGTGCGTCTATTGGGAATGCATTGCTTACGGTCACTCAAACTAAATACATAAAGTACCAGGACTTAAGTTGTCCTTGCGGTGATTTGCACTTTTTAGCTCTTGTGACACTTTGCAAAGACTGCAGATGCGCGAACAAAGTTCGCACATCTGCAGTGTACAGCCGCAACGGAAAAAGAGTAGCACAAGTGGCCTATGACCGGAGCCGCAAAATCGCGACACGCGGTGTTATTGTTCCCGAGCGCGCCAATAGGGAGAGTGCCAATCATGTTGCATGTCTCAACATGGAGGTGGCCGGCAGAAAATTGAGGGATAAGATAGCTTTTCAAATGCGGGCTTTAGGATAGGCTGCAATCTGCCGGCCACTCCCGCGTTGAGACATGAAACGTGACTGTCACCTTCGCTCTTGGCACGCTCGGGAACAATAGTGCCGCGTCTCGCGATTTTGCCACTCCAGTCGTCGGTCACTTGTGCTACTCTTTTTCCGTTGCAGCTGTATATCCTTTTCTTCGAGGTTATTGTAGTATTTTGTGCCATGTTTTGGCATTGTCCCAAACTTCTGTCGTGTATGTTTGATCTCTTGCAAAGCATTAATGTTTGTGTACTGTAATGACGTCTCCAGAGATCTCCGTCATCATCTGCAATGGCATCTCCGTCTGCAACTTGGTATCCTTGTCTTTCATCATAGGAGTGCAAGGAGCGCCACCTGGGGCCAGAAGAGTTTCCGGTGGCGCTGCAGTTGCTATGGCCGCAGCAGGACACGCACCGTTTCTGCCTGCGGGAGCGGCTGTCCGGCAGCTCGGCGGCCCTGGTGCTTCCCCTGGGGCCGGATGCCTCCGCGGACGCCCAGCTGCTGCGGGACTACTTCCTGCGCTTCCTGTACCACCAACCCAGGGACCGGGACTACTCTGACCTGTGCCAGCTGCCGGACCTGACCGAGCAGACCCTGCTGGAGAACCTCAAGGCCCGCTTCGAGAGGGGACACATCTATACCTACGTGGGCTCCATCCTCATCGCCGTCAACCCCTTCAAGTTCTACCCCATCTACAATCCCAAGGTGCGTGTGTACCCCCGGGGGCTCGCACTCGTCTTTGGTTCGGGTTGGGACCCAAACAAGTAGCGGTGTTGTGATGCCTTTCTAGTAAAACAGTTAAAAGAATTGTGTCACCACAAACAATGGAAGTCGAACAAATGAAGAAAAGAAAGGATTACTTAGTTAGCAATTCTGGCTGAAAGCAAGCAAGAGGTGCATTTTTCTTCTCTGAGTTAGCCACCACATTCTGAGCTTGCCAAAGGCCTGTCTAAGGTATCAGGGACCTGTCATTCCTTACTGTCTTTGTCAGGTAACTCGTTTGCCTTTAGCACCAAAAAACTTTGAGGCGAATACTTTTCCTTGGAAGTATAAATAAACTAATTGGTTGATTAATGTTTTGAATCTAGTGCCTCCTGTTTCATACATGGGCCTATTGATTGAATGAATGATTTACACTTGGCATGCAGCATCACCTGTTTCTGTATATGAGCACATGGATTAATTTATTGATTGACATTTGGCACTCGGTGCCTCCGGTTCCAGTACACGAGTCTGTTGATTATTGGTTGATTAGTTTACATTTGACATTCGGTGCCTCCTATACTAGTAGGCAAGGCTGTAGATTGATTGATTGATGTTTGGTGTCCCACGCCCCCTGTTGCAGTATGTGGGGCTGTACCAAAACCAGCGCCTGGGCGACCTACCCCCGCACATCTTTGCGGTGGCGGACGCGGCCTACCACGCCATGCTGCGCTCGCGTGCCAGCCAGTGCGTGGTCATCTCGGGGGAGAGCGGCTCGGGCAAGACTGAGAGTACCAACCTGCTGCTCCACCACCTGACCGCCCTCAGCCAGAAGGGATCCTACGGGCGCGGCGTGGAGCAGACCATCCTTAGCGCAGGACCCGTCTTGGAGGTGGGACATGCTCACTCGCCATCGCGTCGCAAAATCTGACGCCCATCGAAATTCATTCGCGCGCTCATCACAAAGTATGCAGACATCCAAAGGTCATGGCCATTCATGTCACGGAGCCTATCTGCTCCAAAAACTGATCCCAATCACATTGCCACTAACATGGAGTTCATCACTGACCATTGCATCACAAACTCGTCAAGTTCACAAAGTCATTCACCATCTGAGTACACAAAGTCATTCACCATTAGAGTTCACAAAGTAATGAAATCACTTACCAGGACATCATGAGTACATGAAGTTCACAAAGTGAATCATCATCAGAGTTCATGGTCATTCACCATCAGAAATCATGAAGCTGCTCACCATCACATCAAGAAACCTTCCGACTTTACAAAGTCGTTCAGAGTCATTTACAGTCATGCAGTAAGTGTTAATGACTATGATCGGGCGTGTGCATGAGCCGTAATTTTTGACAAAGTTGCATCAATAACTGAAACCTGGCACATATATTTGCTTTAGTGTTCTGTTTTCTTTAATTCCTCTTTTTGTAACCATAAAAAGTTTGGAAAGAGCGTAGGGCTTCATGTACCGAGGTATTGTAGTAAAGAAATGGAGATAGAACATAAATCATGTCTCGTTCGTTGTTATGCAGGCTTTTGGCAATGCCAAGACCAAGCACAACAACAACTCTAGTAGGTTTGGCAAGTTTATCCAGGTCAACTACCGGGAGAATGGCATGGTGCATGGGTAAGATGCATTTTTTAAAAATTTCTTTTCTCTTGCTACTTTGCATGTAAATCACGTTGTATTAGTGCTTTGCACCAATATAACATGTTTGATATCATTTATTGTTTGATTTGTTTTAAAATATGTTTTCTTGCGGTTAAAGAATAACTCCACGGCAAGTTGTACTACCCCCTGTTGATCTGCTAACTATGCAGTTTATTTTCTGCCGGAGCAGTTTTTTTCGAGGTTCGATAAATACGAAGAAACCTACGAGGAAATGTGTCGGGTTCAGCGGTCGCTTGTGTTTGCATCATCGGGGCTGCAAAAAATGGAATCTGGACGTGAATGCGTTGTGCTGTCTTTGGGAATGTATGGCATTGGAAGTTAATGTTCCTGGGGACCATGTCTGCAGTGCACTGGTGCAGAAGTACCTGCTGGAGAAGTCGAGGATAGTGTCGCAAGCAAAGAAGGAGCGCAACTACCACGTCTTCTACTACCTGCTGGCCGGAGCTTCCGACGAAGAGCGCAGGGAACTGCACCTCAGTCGGCCCGAGGATTACCACTACCTGAACCAGGTGGGACTACCGGCCTGTCTTTGCACCGATGATTTTTCCGATTTCTTCCTAAGTCAGTCGGCTCAAAACTCGTTGGTTCGTTGACATGGCCTTGGCATCTCTACCTTGGGTGGTTTTAAAACTGCCGGTTGTTTTGCGGCTTTGTGGTTGGTGGCAGTGCACTTTGTTATGCTATGTTACAAAGAAGTTAAATTCTAGATTGCCTTTAGCTTGTACTTCTAGATTAAGTGGGCTGCAAGTCACTTCATATTTTTTTAGTTGGTTTGTTGCTGGTTCATCCTAAGTGGGAGTTAGGTGCATTTTCTGGGTGCTCGGTAATTTCTATGGAAACAGAAGAGCAGTAGTAATTAGGGGTGTGCAAATATTCATAACTTCAAATACTTTGCGAATAATGCTTGTTATTCGATTTGATTTGCTTCGCACCTTCGCTGTTTGAAGTATTCGAGTTCTTTGAATACTTCGAAAACTACAAGTAACGCGGAACGCGCTGATTAGTGTCAACTCGCGGTCGAGTTCCTTGTTTTGTTTTTAGACTGCGCGTTATGGTTTCGAGCTTGGCAAACCCAAAAAACCAATCTAAGTGCCTTTTTTTTTTTATATGAAGCGTTGGAAATGTTTTTTGCACGCGGTAGCGCGATCTGTCCTTTGCTTGCTATGATGTCTGGTTTGCGGAGTTGAAATGGTTGTGGCGCAAACGCTACGATAGATTTGACGGCTGCGATTTGCAACGGCACTTGCATGGCTGTGAGCACAAACGCGACGGACTGCACTTACTTCAGTCATTTCTACAGTCACTACAGTATCCAAGGTGCTATGGATTCGGATATGGATTTACGGCTGACCACGGTTATTGGCAATATCTGGCTCGTGTTGTTTTCCGCTTGATTTTCCGCTTCATCAGTTTGCCAGTATTCCTTTTGTTATTTATTTCTACCCGTTTTCACATCACTGGTAAAAGTAAACCCTGCTCCCCTCCACCAAAAGAAATCTTTTTAATTTATTGTTTCTTTGTGGCACTCTCTATCGGCAGAAATATTGCTCACAGAAAGAGATCGCGCAAAGTTAGTGCGGCTGCGTGGCGCAATCGCACGGTCTCCAACTGTGCTGTGGCCTGCCGACACGCCTCCGCTTGTGTACTTCCGTTTACGTTCACGTGGTTGCACTCCTCCGCGACGAGATCTCCGACTGCGCTGTGGCTTGCCAACCCGCCACCACTTGTGTACTCTCATTTATGTTGTGTAACTTCACTCCTTGCATGGTGTTTTATTGACTGATCTTTTATTTCATCTGTTTTTTTATCAGTCACATGTGTGACATTTTTCTTATTGCCATAAAAGTAACCTTTTCATAAATTTTCTTGAAAAAAAAAAATTCCAGTTGTGTTTTGATTGAGCATTCTTGTTCAATTCACATCAAATAGAAAATATTTGTTTTCAAAAATGTACTTATTCGAAACTGCTATATTCGTATTCGAAAATATTTGATTTGATTCATAATCTTTATTATTCGATTTGATTTGCTTTGAAAGATTGATATTCACACACCTCGAGTAGTAATCAAATCTTGAAAGAATGATACATATTGCGAGACAAATTTTTTCTTTTTGTGCGATGTGTTACTAATTTTTAGTACTTCCAGTGAAACATCTTTTGATTTGATATGTAGGAAGGATACTAATAGTATTATAGTGGAAGTCTGGTATAGTGAAGATACTGATGTAACAAAGAGTTTTTCAGAAAAGCTGACTTTACTTTGGACAGTTTCTGCCATGTCATGATTGCCAGCTTACATATTCATGATTGATGTGAAAGCTTGCTGTCGCCTGCCAACTCGTCCGATTGTGAATTTGCCTCAATGCAGAGCCAGTGTTACACACTAGAAGGCACGGACGAAGCATTTGAATACACGAGGCTCATGCAATCCATGGAGATGGTGGGATTCAACCTCGACAAGCGGAAAAGGTGAAGGAGCTCCTCTTGATTTCTTGGTTGGATTGTTACATGCCAGCTTAGATGCATCACTCGATGCATCTTTTTGAGTAGACTAAATTTATTTATATGAAAAGATAGGAAAGGGGCACTTAGTAAACTCCTCTAACCAATGCCTTCGTCGTGCTCCACCTTTTGAGGGGCGACTGTGTGCGGGCCCAAAACGTCGTAATGTGTCGTTATCTTCGAGCCTGCTGAAACTTTGGGCACAATGAAGAAATCGGTTATAGTTAGCTAAGTGCCTCTTTCGTATTGCTTACCTAGCCGGGCGGAGTTCCTTCAAAATGTTTACGTTAAAGAAAAGATGGGACAAGGGTCACCGAGCAACCTGGATGCTTTGTTCCTTGGGTTCACAGTTTCTGTGCCTAACTTTTCAGGTTGATTCGAGTACTTTCTGCTGTCCTGCACTTGGGGAACATTGAGTTCAGCAAGGTATGTGGTCTCTTTCCAATTGTGCCTCTTGGATATGTTCTTGCTTAATCTGAGCTTGCCTTCCTTACCTTACCTAACATGACCCAACCTAACCTAATTAGTTATCCCCTTTTACTCTGCTTATGAGGTTTTCATAGTTTCTAAACAAGCTCCCCTCTGATGCGCGTTTTTTTGCCTAATTTTCTGCAGAAGTCGACGTATCACAGCGACGAAGCAGTTCAAGTGAAGAACCCCGAGGTCCTCTCTCTAATATCGTCTCTTTTAGGGGTAAGCCTTTTTGTACCCTTCTCTTTGAACCAAACGGGGTCTGCCATAGTGACACCGTTTGTCAATGGACCCTTTTACTGTTTACAAACAAACTGCTGCTTGCATCCGACTTTTTGGTCGCTCCATCTTTTCAAGCCTGTCGAGCTTGCTTATGTCACCAGTTCTAGAAAGCATAAATGCTACACAAACTACAAAGTTGGAGGTTTAGTAGTCTTGTGCAAATAGTGGATTTTGAGTACGAAGCGAATTCGAAGCGAATAGTGGTTTTTACCGAATATTTTCGATTCGAATATCGAATAGTTCTTCCACGCCTTTCACTACCATCGCATAATGCTTAGACGAAAACCTAGCTAAACCTGTAAAGGTTATTCCACTTTTTCATTCATAAGCTAAGCTTAATCTATCTATATTTATGAACTGTGATCTCAAAAGGTCTGGTGTCTTGGGATGGCAAGTAAACGACGGATTTGACATAAAATGAATCCTATATAGATGGCCCACTATACCAATTGAGCGAATTTACAAATCTTGATATATAAAATATTCTTTCTTTAATCTCAAGTTAAAAAAGAATGAGTCGCGCATGATGAACACAGGTTGTAAAAGCATCTCTGCCTAACATAGTATACTCTTCCATAAAAGTTTAATTTTGAAACTTTTACTACAATGTAGATATATACATTCACAAACTTTCCATTTAATTTCAAATACAGTCGGCACGGGTGCACCATCCCACTTTAAATATATGCTTTTCTTGAGCACGCAATTACAATATTGTTTATCGCGGCGGGTTACCCCGTTAAGTACGCTTCTTAGCGACCACCGATGTGATGCGGAGAAGCAACACCCACAAAGCTCACTTCTGCGGGTTTTGCTTCTCCGCAGCGCACTGGTGCTTGGTAAGAAGCGCTCTCAACGAGGCTAACCCGCCGTAATCAATACTTCGAAAAACGCGAATAGTGCAGTTCTTTTCGAAGCGAATATAGAATAGTGTATTATTCGGAACTACTATTCGAAATTTCGAATATTCGCACAACCCTAAGGTTTAGCGAGGGCCTTCGGTTGTAGAATCTAACGTCTTGGAAAAGACAAGTTGGTTTGCTAGAATATTCAAAAAATTTGAACAGATCTCGCGCTTCTTGGTTCTTTTGGCATCCACCTGGAGAATCGGTATGACGTTTCAAGCGGCAGCGTTAAGGTGGGCTTTGTTCATTCTTTTTATGAACCGGAAGTTCCCTGGGATGTTAAAAGACTGAAGCACTGCCTGGTGTGGCGTTTATAAAGAAAAGGGTCTATGGGCAGGGGCATAAGGAAGTGAGGTTTGGTTTATCTCCCTTTGCTTGCAGGTGAAGGAAGAAACGCTCAACTCTGCCCTCACAACCAAACGTGCCAAAGCTCCAGGGGAGACATTGGTCATCAGTTACAAGATGCCAGAGGTGACCAAAATCGAACACCACCCGTTGCAGCGCCACCAATCCTAGCTGTCGCCGCATTTGTATCGGTACCAAGTTGCCAGTTGGAGTGTTGTACTCAACGTCGTATAGCGTAGCTTCTGCAGTACCACATCTGCCGCAACAGCACCAGACTTGTTTTGCGTTTTATTTGCACGCGCTCACGCAAGTAGCTTTAAGAATGAAAGGAAGCAAAGATGGATGGCCAGAGTAAAACCTCGAAAGGCTGCAGCAGTTCAAGCAAACGGACTCCTATAAGCAGAAGACAATGAAAATCAGTTGATGTTCAAAGGTTACCAGCTCCTAGCAGATTTGCTAACATTAATGCATGCATGCTGTTTAATTTCATATATTTCACTTCATTTTATGAGAAAAAATGAGTTGTGAAGTGTAATCTGCCATTTATTTTGTACCAGGCAATAGCCACGAGGGACGCCATGGCCAAGTGTCTTTACGGAGCACTTTTTGACTGGATTGTGATGCAAGTCAACCACGCTCTGCTCTCTGCTAAGGACTTCCGGGAACACAGGGTCGGTGTCCTCTTTATGTAACAGTTTTACTTCGAGGAATGCCGGATAGGTGTCCTTTTTACGTGACAGCCTATTTGTGTAACAGCTTTACTTATGGAAAAGTGCTGAAAGACACATTATATTTTGAGCGAGACTCCCTCTGTGTAGGTGTGAGAGCATTTGAAATGAACTTTTCGTGTGAAAACATTTGGTGGAAAGGATGGGGTTATTGTAACTGGGTCTGGCTGCAAAAGGAGGTTAGGTGCAACTGTGTTTGTTTTAATTGAGGCTGACCATTGGCCATACAGAAAGGAGAGTTGATGATGTCTGTGTGGAAATATTTTATTTTAGGGAAACAGCATAGGTGTGCTCGATATATTTGGGTTCGAGGACTTTGGTGACCACAACAACTTCGAGCAGTTCTGCATCAACTTTGCCAACGAGCACCTGCAGAACTATTTCAATCAGCATGTCTTCAAGTATGAGCAGGTAAAAGAAGAGAAATTCGTAAAAATATTTATCGACCATCACTTATGACTATCTGTAGAACTTCATTTTCTCAAATGTCGCCCAACTTAAAAATTGTCAAGAAATTGGTCTCTTGAACTACAATCTATTGGTTGTTTATGACCTTTCATTTGTAGCTGCACATAACCTGAATCGCATATACACAACCACAGTCTGCAAAACAAGCACCTTTCAATATATAAAATTTTCAACAAGCTGGTAACTTGAAGAAAGCTGCTTTTGCAGTATGTTTGTTTAATTTATTTTATTTAACCTTCAAGACACCCGTTGGTGAGGGTGGCATATAGGGGGCGCCACACATACATTGCCCGTGTATTTCACCCTACGAGTGTTATCAGGATTTTCTTTTTGTCCGGGCACGCAGAAACAGGCTTACCGATGTAATCATTCACTGCCACAGCAGTTAGAATATTTCACCGTGGTCTGGAGCCGTAGTTGTACGTCCTGAGTCACTTTGCATTGCACATCCTTCGTGCTTGCTAATCCTTGGTACTTGTGCAACGTGGCTGCCTGCAGGAGGAATACCAGAAGGAGGGCATTCACTGGAAGAACATTGAATTTACGGACAACACTGGCTGCCTGAGCCTGATCGAGGGAAAGCCTCACGGACTGCTCTGCCTCCTCAATGACCAGTGCAAGTGAGTCGGTGTTTTGGGGACCTGGAAATGTTTTTCTGTTACCGTGTCTCGGGCAACTGTGCCAGTAGAATACTCAAATATTGAGGTGGACCAGTTGGCTAAGCATAATATTCATAAATATTGCAAAGACCATCAAGGACATGGACACGAAGACGGGACTAGTGCTGTGCTCACAACTACCACTCTGATGCAACAATGCTACCATATTTGATTGAGTAATAGCCGCACTTCTTATGAACAAGGCCCTTGCGTCTACTTTCTAGGAGAACACACAGTCAAGTCATCGCACTCTGCATAAAAAGCACAGCGAATAAGGAGGTTGAGAACACTATTCTCCGTAAGAATGCCATCTGAATTTATCCCTTATCTTATTCTCCGTAAGAATGCCAAGAATTTATCCCTGTTCCTTAAATTGCTGCCATTTTCTGCCGATCGCTGTAATTCACTATTCTCGTGCTCCGCGGGAATGCAGACCCATTAGCAATGACGGTACACTCATAAAAGTAATTTTGATGCAATTATAGTTGCATTAAATGACAGTTGTGAGTATATTGCTAGGACCGTCTGAGTGTCCATGTCCTTGTCTGCCCTTCACACCATTTATGTTTTATATACAGGGAGTTCCTGAGTAAAGAGAATGGTGTTTCTCAACCTATGTAAACCTACTATGCATCGCAGAACGCTCAAACTTTATGAGAATGTTACGCTAGCGGTTCGAATAGAAGGCGGAATTTGAGAACATGACAATACCTGGATTATTTATTCATTGAAGCGGAACAAGGGGTGTTTCCAGGGAACTATTCTTTTGATTGCGAATGAATTTGAAACGGGCACATCACGCTTATGGGAGAAGCTTCTCCTACCTTCTTGACTTGTAACCGAGTATAGTTTCCGCCACGATCCCAATAGGAGCGATTCGCCTTCGGTTCCATTGGCTGGCGCGCGTGGAGGGGGTCCCATTGGCCGCTGTGCCATGGCCTCCCAGATCCCGAAGCGCGCACGCGCTAGTATGCAGCAGACGAAAAAGGGAGCGGAGGAGCGGCTTGCATGCTTTCGCATTCACAACTCATAAAAAGTGCTTAGGTGTACCTCGAGCTTTTTTTTTCCTCGATTATCTTTTGAGCCAGGTAACAAAATGTTCTTAAATTTTTGCGTTCTGTCCCAACTGCAAGCGTCACATTCTCACGAAGTTTGAGGTTTTTGCAATGTATAGTTTATTACCCGGGCCGAAAAACGTGGTTCTTTTTTCTTGGGAACTCCCTGTACAATAGAACGCCCAGCGTGAAGTCGAACTAAGCACGGGAAACCAGGAAACTGTGTAGAGCTACGAAATGGTCTTATTAACATCAATCCTGGAGTATCGTCTGTGGTGTCTGGAACGTGCCTTCGGTTGATGCGTCTAGATTTCTATTCTGTGCATGCATTGGAGTGCCCCCGAGGTGCCACCAAAATAGATCACGGGTTTCAGTATAATGGTACGGGTTGTCGCGACCTTGGTAGTTGGTCGTGAAAACACTACTGAAGACAAGAGGAACGGGTGCCCGCCGCTCTCTACTCCTCCACCATGCCACCGCCAGGATTACGGCAATCTGGAGCATCACGCAGTTACGACGTCTGTAGATGGAAACCGAGGGTAGAAATTAGAGGCTCATTAGAGGTGCCGCAGTAGAACCATATGTACTCTTTTGATCATCTTAATTGGAATGTTGTGGAGGCTTCTTTGCTTTCTGCTCGCTACCGTCCGTCCAGCAGTAAACGCATCTGTCCCTGCTCTGAACGACGTTGCAGCTTCTCGGGGGCCACAAACGCCATGCTGCTCCAGAAGTTCCAGAACCAGCACAAGAACAGCCCCTTCTACGAGGTGCCCCAGAAGCGGGAGAATGCCTTTCTGGTGCACCACTACGCGGGCAGGGTCAAGTACCAGATAAAGGTGGGTACACTTCAGTAAATGGCAGTGCGCTTTGGCCTTTGCTGGGGCTAGGGTTGTCGGTACCCTGCTGGAGCCACTCGATGACGGGCTGCAGTGCTCCACAGCGTGTCCAGAGATTCTGTATCGAAAAAGTGCCGCAACACTTTGGCTAGCACCTGCCAAAATATTGGTAAATTTTTTTTCCTTTTCGGAAATGCACTAGAAAAGTAGACCCTTATTTTGTATACCTGTCATTGGTGGAGCTCCCCATCGTCGGCAACTTTTGATGCCTGCTTTAGGCTGGAATTCCTTTTTCTAAATTATGCGCAGGACTTCAAAGAAAAGAACCTGGACCTGATGCGTCCAGACGTGGTGATGGTGCTGAAGAGCTCGAGCGTGGCGTTGGTGCGAGAGCTGGTCGGAGCCGACCCCGTGGCCGTGTTCCGTTGGGCCATTCTGAGGGCGTTCTTCCGCTCCTACCATGCCCTGAAGAAGCCTGCCTCCCACGGTAAGATTACAGACGGTCGCGATGCTGCACTCCTTTTCTTCCACTATTGAGCGTTCGTGCTCTGTGGTATCATCATTGTATTAAGTTTTGGGTTGCAAAAGGGTGAAGTGTAGGGTTGTGCGAATATTCGAAATTTCGAATAGTAGTTCCGAATAACACACTATTCGATATTCGCTTCGAGAAGAACTTCACTATTCGCGTTTTTCGAAGTGTTGATTGCGGTGGGTTAGCCCCGTTGAGTGCGCTTCTTACCGAGCACCGGTGCACTGCGCAGAAGCAATACCCACGGAAACAAGCTCCGCGGGTGTTGCTTCTCCGCATCACATTGGTGCTCGGTAAGAAGCGCACTCAACGGAGTAACTTGCCGCGATAAAGATTTGGAAAAGTATGAATATCGCAGTTGCGTGCTTGGACGAAAACCATACATTCAAAGCGGAATGGTGCACACGTGCCAGCTGTATATAAAAATCAATGGAAACTTTGTGAATGTGTATACTGTAAAACCCTTTGTTTTCGGGGCCCCTACTCTTCGCGAATCGGTCACAGAGGACATATCGCGGCCACTAAAGTTCGCGAATTCCAGAGACCTGCATTGAAATTCTTGAAGACCGAAATTTTCGCGTGCCTTTAAGTTTCACAAATTTTTCAACTCTCGATATTCGTGAAAATTAAGGGCTCGCGAACATTAAGGGTTTTACAGTATCCACATTTGTTAAAAATTTTTAAATTAAACTGACTGTTTTGGGCAGAGATGCCCTTAAAACCTGCGTTCATCATGCGCGAGTCATTCTTTTTTAACTCGAAATTAAAGAGAGAATATTTAAGATTTGTAAATTCACTCAATTGGGTATAGTAGTTGGCCATTTTATGTCAAACTTGTTTACTTACCATCCCAAGACATCAGACCTTCTGAGGTCACAGTTCATAAATATAGATAGATTAAACTTGGCTTATAAATGAACAGGTGGAACAGGGGGTTTTGTCTAAGCATTATGTTATGATAGTGAAAGGCGTGGAAAAACTATTCGATATTCGATTCGAAAAAATTCGGCCAAAACCACTATTCGCTTCGAATTCGCTTCGAACTCAAAATCCACTATTCGCACAAGACTAGTGAAGTGTGTCTGCTTCTCCATATTATGCTTTGGGAAGGCAGCGACGCAGTAGAGGTACTGTGCTCGCTCGTTTTTCCGAGAGTGGCGTCTGCTCGAAACGCACTCGTGCGGTGCGGAGAAATTGCTAGTGCAGAACGGCCTCCCTCCTGGAGGAGTTGTTTTCCCCTCGCGCGTCGGTGCAGCGTAAAGAAAGGAAGGCACAGGAGCCGGCGTGCGCACTTTTGCTCTGTCATGCCAAGCTCTGACGTGCCAAATGCGCTTCGCAGCTTTTTTGCCTTCTGTAATCCTTTTACGGTATTGTTGCATTTTTTTTGTGAACCTGCAACTTCTTTATTTGATCTCCGCGATTGTATTTAGGGTGTAGAAACTTTGATTCTTTGCGACTAAACTGCCCGCATTTCCTGCAGGTCGCTCCATCGGCGGCGTCAAGAAGCCACTGAGCTACAAACGCCCGGACAACCTCGTCGCGTAAGTTCCTCTCCCCAATGCTTTCGTCGGCATCTCGCAAAACTGTGCCAGTATCTGCGATCGTTAATGTTTGCTCGTATATTGATCTCGTTCGATACGAGAGCCGTTTCCAAGTACCGTGCAGACTGCGTAGGCTGCGTGGCACTTTGAGGAGTAACCTTGTGCCTGCATTGAACGGTGCTTCATTTGGCTGTGTGTCTTCTGCCTCTCTGACCATCGTTCCTTGGTGCCGGTGCAGGAACCAAGGCGTGTCGTCTTCGAGGCGGTCGTCGTTCGGCGTCAGCGGGTGTCAGGGAAACCTGGGTGCCACCTCCTGCCCGGTCCACCGTGGTGACACCCACCTCTGCGCCAACGAGGCGCGGGTGATGGAGAGGGCCAACCAGATCATGATGTAGGTGCACTTTTACGGCGGCGGCTGTCGTGAACTCTTCCCGCCGCCGGAAGTGCCGTCCGTCATAGTTTTCGATGTCATTGTTGTAGTGGGGCAAAGGGCATGCGTCGTCGACGTTGCCAAATCCTCAAAAGAGATTGCCCACGGGATTCAATCCCGGGTCCACTGCGTGCGAAGCAGGCGCGTTACCACCGAACTATGCCACAGCTTCGATTGGATTGCCTCAATGTCCTTCTGTTTAGGGTGATGCCATTCTTTGTAGTACCCTGTGCCAACTGCATGCACTTTCTGAAACAATACAAAGAAGTAGCCGATAGCAAAGTGTCGCCATAGCACTGTCAATGCCAAGAGCTCGTGTCGGCAGGTGCGCCTTCTCGCGCTCCAGAACAAAAAAGGAACAAAAGCATTCGAAACAAAATGGTCAGTATTAAATTTTGTTCCGAACGCTTTTGTTCATGCACCCCACGATGCGTGAACGCGATGTCGATGCCCAACGACTTTGCCGTGACGTGTTGCAGCAGTTACTGGGACTGTACCGTAAATTAATACAGGGCTACTCATTTTTTGCTTTTTTTTTTTTTTTTACGTATATGCACATAAGTTCAGAACAAAAGTATGCAGCGTGCAAAATGACAAATATGATTGACATGAAGTTGACATGGAAAACGCTAAACAAAAGGAGTTAAAATGATATGTGTCGAAAGGATCATTTTTGGACCGTTTAATAGACCGATCTCACCAGCCAGTTTGACTACGCCACCGCTGCCGCAATGCATCGAGGGAACTTTAGTCTTTCTGTGCGTGCGACAACCTCGCTGGAGCTCTGCGCGTGCAGGGCACGAACAGGCTCGTGCACGGCCGATTGTCTCCTGTGAACTAAAGTTATGGCTGCCTCGCGCATGCGCCAAACGCTTGGTGAGATCGGTCTATTGATGTTACGAGTTGTTCTTCTAAGAGTGCTGTTACGCTGTTTCAGGAAGAACCGCCACACCAGATCTCGCAGCCGAATGGACAAGGTAAAGTTGATCACTCCATTTGCTTGGTTTTGGGGCAGAGTGAATTAGCTTTAGCTGTTGTATGGCTCTCCTTACTTTTCAAATTTTTGCTCTTCAGAGCTCCCTATATGCGAGAGCATACATGTTTTAATACTGCAGATCGGGCGAGTTGGTAAGGCATGAGTAGGTGCTGGTTCATAATTAAGACATGTTTTTTTTTCTGCCTTTTGAGATTATTTGTTTAATCACTCTCTTGGTTGCATAGATCTTGTTTTTAATTCAGTATTAGTTATCTTCAGTCATGACTTTTTTTATTAGCTCGTAATCCTGAAATACTTCTGGGTTTCTGATATGTGCATCTTCACCATGTTCTGCTGTAAAATATTGCATATTGAGCTGTTATGTGCACACAAGTGGCAGTCTTTCTGTATTAACTGTGTGACTTATTTCCTGTAAAAGCAATTTTCGTCAACAGCTTGACTTTTCCAGAAAGTTTAATTTGTTTACTTTGCAGGGTTATTTTTTATATAAATTATTTTCGGTCCACCGACGCAAAAAAAATGGTAGGTGTACATAAATTTCACTTTAGGAAAACTTCCGTTTGGTAACAGGACAAAAAGAAAGGCTCACTCATTGTTTTTCCCTTACTGGAATTTAACCTTGATTAGGCTGTTTGGTGATGGGATGTTGACATGCGGCTATTGGCCCTCACCTCAGGGTCTCAAGAACCTGCAGAGTGTGAAGACCGTGGTGGGCAAGACTCACCCTCACCCGCAGCAGCGTACCGGCAGAAAGCAGCCGCCAACGGTGACCGCACAGTTCCAGGCAAGCCGGGCCCTCTGTTTATTACTTGCAGCCTTACTTTGCTCGCATTGTCTTGACTCCGAACCTCGGAAGTTGAGAGATCTTGCGCGGGTGCCAATTCGGACCAGTATTCGCATGCTTGCTTTTCTATGTTTTTTAGTGATCGTGGCTGCGGAGGCCTTGTTGCCCGGACATATTATGCAATGGTGGCATCCCGACAGCAACATTTAGAATAATGTTCAGGATATTACCTCTTATTCTAAATTCTGTTTCAAACTTTTCTTTGAAAATGCTTGTGCCAATAAGTGAGAAGCCTCGGAAGTACCTTCATTTTGTTGTTCTCAGTGAGGTTCTGCTTTGGGGAGAACACCAGATTTTTCTTCTACATATGGCATTACTGTTCGTATAATATTCGTTAATGTTATGACTTTTATTTTGTCCAGTTGTGAAGACAATGTGGACTTGTCTTTGCACTTTTACATTCTATGCTGTTTATTGCAGGTGTCACTCAGTCACCTGATGGAAGCCCTCAGCCAGGCCAACCCATTCTTTGTCCGGTGCATCAAGTCGAATGCAGACAAGGTATGACTTCCACATGTACTGTAGTAATTGTTTTCTATGCTGCCGATTATAGAATGCCTTTAATGCCTATGATGGTCAACATTCCTAAGAATGCGGTAGCATTTGATGTGAAAAATGATGTACAGTAATCCCTCGTAGACAACGAAGTCAATGGGATGGCAAAAAAATTTGATATAAGTGGTATTTCGATAAAAGCGATAGGGTGAAAAACTAATACAGTGCCAGCAGCCTTCAAGGTGGACAAGAACACTGCGGAACACTCTGATGGTATATTTAATCAAACAAACCTTGGTTATGAACATCTCGCGGTACCTTTACCGAGTGAAAAAGTAATTAAGTGGAGTTTGCTGATAATTTCTTCCGGGCGTTAGTTCCCTGCGAACTGCTCCAGGTATCGCAACAAAACTGTCACTGCTGCTGCACTCCACTTTGTTTCGAAGGAGCCGTAGGATGTTTCGTGTCTCGGGATATTACGCTATTTACTCTTTTTCCCCAGTTGGCCGTTCGCCTCGGTAGAGAAGGGGGAGGGAACGCAAGTGTCTCCGCCTCCGTGTAGGCTTGCATGCTTTTGGCTTCGCGGCCTTTGTAATAAGCGCGGTCAGCCACCGATACTTGGAATAATTCGTTTAAGAATGTGTGCATTTTGGTCGGGACCACGTTGAAATTCAATAGAAGCGATAGTTCGAAAAAAGCAATTTCGTTAAATGAGGGATTAGTGTATTTGGGACCATTCACTAATAACCATATAATCGGGAAGCGGAAAAAGTCAACCGTGTAAAATTTTAGATTGTGTCAGTTATGTGTATATTTATTTGCTTTTGTCCCTACTCGAAGCACTCTTATGGCTGCATTGCGTATTTTCATTATTGGAAAATCGAAATAAAGCGAATGCTTTTATTTCATGCAAGGCAAACTATGTAATAGCAAATCGCAGTTTGTTTGCTTTTGTCAAAATGGTAAATATTAGAGTGTCTGAAATATGTACCAGTTGTGGCATCAGTTGAAATGAACACGTGGAAATTCGGAGATTGACTCGAGCACATTGGTTTCCGGTGCAGATTCCCTGTTCGTTCGACGAGAAGGTCATCCTGCAGCAACTGAGGTACACCGGGATGCTGGAGACAGTGCGGATCCGACAGTCCGGCTACAGTGTCCGTCTTCCCTTCGAGGTACCGTTGTCCGTCGGACCATGCTTCTGCATGTCTTCTGGTCCGGCTGAATTTACGGCAGACTAGAGAGCTTAGGCTGGGTTCCTATATGGATTACAGCACTGTGCATGCAGGGAAAGCATCTAAAATCCCCATTCACGCGGAAAAGTTAAGGTTGTTTCAGTCTGCCGCATTGTGTGCCCCCGAGAGCCGCCGCCCGACCGCCAAAACCAGAAGCTCCAAGTCCCACATCTGCAAGCGCTCGCCATTTGGGGCCGATGGATTCAAAATGTTTCGTTCCTTCGAAGGCGCTCTTGCAGGTGCTGGATAGTAATGCTTAATGCTCGAAAGCATCTGCTGCCGGGAGTGCGCCGCTTCCTTTGCAATTAAATACAATGGCTGCATCACGGACCATGCATATTTTCGTATTCTGTGCCTGCACCCCGTTGTGCTGCGGGCAGTGAGAAAACGAAACTCTGCTCAGTGTGGAAAGCACGACCGGGAGCAAATTATGTGACTACGCTTGAGGCTTGACCGCTTGACGACGCTTGACGACCCTTGTTTCGTTTACCATGCGACAGATGGCGTGCGGCCACGGACATTATTAGGATTCAGTGATTTTTGTTGCATCGTTAATTATGCTACAAAAATGCAAATCCCAATATTCTTTATGATTGCGGTGCTCTTGAGGTTATTTCTTAATGAAAAGCCTCCCTCTGCATTCACACGAGGGATGCTTTTTTGGGGAGGGATATGCGTGGCGTCGGTGACCGGCAGAAACGGCAGGACTTCCTTCCCGACTCGAGCATTCGCACGAACAACGGGGAGCCGAGAGGGATGTCGGCGTTATCAGACGCATTTAGTGGTCGCGCTCTCGACGACGAGACCCTGTGTACGCTGACGAGAGTAGAAAAATGGAGGCGTACATGAAACAGCGATACTCTATTATGGCAGCAGCGCCGTTAGACGCAGGAAATGCTAAATGTTTCCTGCTAAAAGAAAGATTCTTGTTGAATGGGTGGATGCAACACAAAGGACGTGGAATCAGCCCGAGCAAAAGCTCCTCTATCCCCCTGGGACGTCTGCCTCAGCGTGGCTCCGGGCAAAAGCGTGACATTGTTACCGCGTGATGCGCATCCTGGGGAGCAAAGGGAGAGATGTCTCCCCCCGTGTGAATACCCCTTTATCCAATGGGCTAGGCGGATTAGGTTGCCATAGGTAGTTTGGCACTGCAAGGCACCGCGGATGCGTCGCAGTGGAAAAGATGGAGAAGTTTCGGAAGAGGGGGGGTACGAAAGAGTCCGCTTTTTTTAAAACTTTTTATGCCTCAAATCGGACTTTTGGCTCCCTATTTTTCTGTGTTGGTTTTCTTTTCACACCCTTCATAATGTACGGTGGGTACAGTTAGATTTCAGAACCGTTTCGTGGTCCCTTTAACTTTTCCACATGGCAGGGGTATAGTAAGTACTTCCTCTTTTGGAAGTATTTCATTCCTTCTAACAGACTTTTGGGAGTATGCCATTTTTTCTAACAGATCTGAGGCTATTTTGTGGTCTACTATATGCACATAGCAAATTTGGTGGTGGTTGAATATGGTGGTGGTTGAATATGGTGGCGATCTACATACGTGTACCGAACATATTATTTCTGCTTCATTTCTGTCGGTCTCAGGAGTTCATTCAGCGGTATCGGGTGCTCCTTCCCCGCGGACTCATCAGCTCGCGGTCGGACATCCGCGACTTCCTGCACCGTGTGAACCTGGATCGCAACAACTATCAGATGGGAAAGACAAAGGTGAGCGTTTCATAAATCGTGAATGTCTGTCTCGTGTGCTTTGTACCATGTTTTAGTACGAGCCCTGGACAGAGTGCATACGAAAGTTTGTTTTGTAGAACAGCCACATGTCCCATTCTGGGATATAGGATAAAGACAAGATTACGACCTGTGAGCAGCTCTCGTGTTTGTGCATACAGTATAGACCACTTACAACGTAACCGCTTATAGTGCAGGACCGGGTATAACGCGGCTTTTTTCAACCACCGGTGCGCCTCCCATAGAACTCCATGTAATTACATACCGCTTAAAATGCAGGCGCGCGAAGGGAAATACCGGTTATAGTGCGGTTTCTGGAGCAGTGCGCCGACCGCGCCGACCGACTGGCGCGGTGAGCACGCTTCCCTGTGCGACACCAGATAACGGCGCTAGCCGCAAGCGGCACTCGCGGGGGCAAGGATGACAAAAAGGTTGCTTGAAGATGCGGGGAGAAGCGAAGAGAGAGGCTTCAGTTGCCATAGCGACGGAGGGACGCACGCACGTGTCGTTCACGGCACAAGGCGTGGACGAGCCTATTTGTCGTGGCCCAACCAGCCGTTCACGCGCGTTGCATGCCTGTCGCGGACGAGCTTCTTCTATCCGCAAACATGGCGTCGGTGGCGATCATCGACATAGGCAGCGTGGTGGAAGCTCATCGTTCCGTGTAAAAGTGCTATCCCTGACTGTGAATTTTTGTTGTGTGTCGCTATGATAACCCAGCACGTACTAGAAGGGAAGATCCACCTACTCGTGCGGTGATGTCACGGTGGCAATTTCAAGACGGCAGGAACGCCCGTGTCGTCGTGTTTGTTTACTTCGACTACAGTGGTGCTTTCTAAGCATTTGTGTTTTCGAACATCGCCCGGATTTCTTATTTGGAGCATTTCATGCCTGTGCTCAAGTTGAAGGTATTACTGGCGCGTACCGTATAAAGGATGCGAATTTTCACGCGTTTTCATCACCGGAGAAAAGTGATTAGGGCTAGCAATCCTGAACGCTCGCAACGTTTGTCCACAACCTGCGACGTCGTTAAAAGGCCGCGCCAGGCAAAAGTCACTCATTTCTTTCAAAATGTGTGACACACTTGAGAGGGAAGTGTACTAGTCTGGTGAAATAAAGACTTTCCTCAAACTAAGCTTTATTTTTCATCTAATATAAAATAAATTGTTTTGCAAAGGTAAGTTGTGTCATGGCATGTATTTTGGCCTGAAAAATTGATGTTTGGTTATAGCGGGGTACCGCTTATAGTGCGGATTTTTGCGACTCCCGCGACATACGTTATAAGCGGTCTACACTGTATTTGACTCGCAACTCTCTGCAGGTGTTTCTTCGCGAGAGCGAGAAGCTCAAGCTGGACGAGCTGCTGCACCTCCAGATCCTGCAGCGCATCATCACGGTGCAGCGCTACGTCAGAGCATGGCTGCAGCGGCGACACTTCAAGCTGTTGCGGGCCTCGGTTGTCAGGCTGCAGGTCAGGCACAACCCTCTTGTCTCAGACTTTTGGTTGTGCAACTCACCGAAGTTTGGTTGTCAAAGTGTTTGAAACATTCTTATGCCTTTAACAAATTAGCATATACCGCCTGAAAACTTTCAGGGGTGGGAGCTGCGCCAATTGTGCCATTTTGATACGTTCAGAATTTTCTGTGCCTGGCGGCGCCAAAAGCATGAAATTGGCCGAAATTGTGCTACGTTGCGCCAAAGATCACGGTGACGCTCGATTTAGTGGAAAGCGAATGCTCGGTCGACGACCTTGACTATTTCATTGCTAGGTAGCACAAGCCGCTGCCCTATTCCTTGGTTCAGCTATATCTGTCCCATTATCCATCCATTCGATGGATTCAATGTACACTTCCATACTTCTAACCCTTGTACCTTCGCATCATGCATCGTACGTGCTACGAGGTATGATACGAGGTAATAAAAATTTGTTTCTAAAATAAAATATCTCTGTGTGTGATTTCAGATATTTCACAGGGAAGTCTTATTCAGTATTGTACTAGTGCAAACCTAGCTTGCTTGAATTGTAACTGATGGTACAACTAGGGGTGGATGCAGGTGCTTCCTGATGGGGGCGTTAGTGTACCAGATGTTTTAGAAACCCCCCTCCTCTCCTCCTCCCTTTTTCTCCACCCTAATATATTACACATGTGGAATTCAAAGGGAGACGTGGGTGTCGGGACATTTGGACCCCCTTTGTATCTGCCACTGGGTGCAACTGGCTGAGATTCTTTCTTAAAATGATGTCACAGCTTGCTCCTAAGGTGTTTTAAGAAGAAAAGGTAGCCCCAGTGCTCCAAAATGCAGATTCTTCTGCTCCTTATCTGCTCCAAAATACAGAGTTTTCTGCTCCAAAAATTGCTCTAAAACCAGTTTGATCTGACCCGTGCCTGACTGTTTATGGAATTTTTTTGCGAAGCCCAATGGCTACAACTAAAATGCCATCTTAGTTGCGTGCCGGTTGCATGGAACCTCAACTGTATGAGGGTTTCATGGAATGCTCATGCAACTGAGTTGGATGCATCTGGGGCCTTTTTTTCACATCTTGCCATGACCCTGTCAAATGTGTTTGTTAACCAGTCGTAATTGATTGGGGTCACTTATTCTCCTGACTTCCAAGCCTTTAAAAGTTGTAGATTTACACCTCACACGAGATTCTGTTCTGGAGATGTGGAGTCCGTAATTCGTTCCCAACTCGAAGCTTCACATTAACCTTTGTGGCTGCCCTGTGTTTTGCAGAGCATGGCCAGAGGCTATCTGATGCGCCGTCGCCTGGCGCTGGAGCGGTCGCGGCACGAAGCGGCCACGGTGATTCAGCATTGCTGGAGACGGCACAGAAACGCCCGCTGGTTCGGGCAGCTGCGATGCAGCGTAACTGCCTTCCAGGGAGTCTGCAGGGGCCACCTGCTCAGGCGCAGGTAAGGAAAAGCGCCACACCGACTCAGACTCTTGCTTGCTTGGGTTGCACAGCTCCTTTTCGGTGCAGTGCTGAGCTGCGTCGTGGAAAAGTGCATTGCACCATGTGTTGGCAGCTTGCAGATCTTTAAGAAATGGCATCTTGGTTTTGTCATTTTAATGGCTCGTCATGTGGGTTTTTGCTGTGTCATCATGTTGATATTTATAAGCTGTTTTGGGGGGGTTTGGTGCTGACTGACCTCTACAGCATCTTTTTTTTTTACTTCTGGCTAGAAATGTGGCCTGAGCTCCATTTACATACCTTGTGGGAACCCATTGTGTTCCTTCTCACCACATCGTGCGCTGCTGACGCCATGTGGCGATAGCATCGAAGCGGCGTCGCTGAAGTGGACAATCTCGTGCCCACAGCGGCGCTGCCTGAGGATGACGAGGCTAGAAAAGGGACGGAGAGACGACTGTTACGGCTCTCGTCGGCGTGGGACGAATGACAGCGGCTGCCTGGCTTCTTGAGCGCGGGGCTCTGATTGCCGCCGCTAGCCAGTGACCTGCCTGGAGCCGCGGACCCCTATGGAAGATGACTGCCCGGCTTCTGGACCGCGGGGCTTGGGTCGCCGCCGCAAGCCAGTGACCTTCCTGGAGCCCCTGGATGCGGCTGTGCCTCGTCGAAACCAACCATGTCACTTGTCCGGAACCACGGCTTCCCATTGATGACGTTTGCACGCCTCCAGACCGTCGGAAAGCCGACCCAGGGTGACGTTTGCGCACTGCCCGCCGACTGCCCGGACATTGACGTGAGGCTTGCCTCGTAAATATTGTTGGGTTAATACACAGTTAACCTAGAGCGTGTGTCTGTCCACCCGAGGAAGGGGCGTTAAAGAACCGCCCACAACCTAAATACAGTAATCCCTTGTTATAACGAAATCACTTTTTTCTAATTATCGCTTTTATTGAAGTTGAACGTGGTCCCGACCAAAATGCACACATTTTTAACTGGATTATTCTAAGTGCATTGGTGACCGACCACAATTATTACGAAAGCCGCAGCATCGGAAGCATGCGAGCCTACATGGAGGCATACGGGGACCCTTGCGTTCCCTCCGCCTTCTCTACTGAGGCAAACGGCAAACTGGGAAGACGGAGTAAATGGGTGACGGAGGGCAGAGCACGCAGAGCTGGCAGAGCGGGCAGAGCGCAGCTTCCGATGCCAATGCGCCGAAGTGGGGATGGGGGCAGAAAGCAGCGTCAACGTTCCGACGCTACCTACGGCACCCTCGGCTGACGCTGCCCGACTCCTGTTGGAATCGGGTCAAGGGAGCGATGGAGCCTGGAGGAGATCATTCCTTCAAAAGTCCCAGACGCGAGCGCCTGCAGCGTGCTACACTCAAACGTGCATCGTATTGGAGATTGGGAATGTTTACCAAAAGACGCTTGATGTTGAGAAAAAGTGGCCGGCCCAAGTCCGAAATCGGCAAAGAATTCAACATTTTGGCATCGGCTGTTCGACACTGTCCACCATTTTGCAGAACAAGCAAGATGTATTGAACTAGTTCGAGAAGTTTTTCATGCAGGAGAAAGCGCGCCCGCAACCCAAAGATGAAAGATCGCCAACTACTTTGCACACGTCGGATTTCTCCTTGTGAGCATGCCTGCCAAGCCGGCGCACAGTTTCCATAGCTGCAACCATCTCTACAGGAGTGTGTGAAAACAACATGTTGGCAAAGCCACCGAGGACGACTCTAGTTCGTCCTCGGTGGCTTGTCGATGTGGACCCCATTGTTGCTCCTGTCACATATGCTGCGATCGTAGACCTTGCATGCGGCCAGGGTAGACACGAAGCGGCGTTGGAGAGGCACCTTGGGAAACGTTGACGACTGCAGAGATGCGAAACATCCTACGGCTGCTTCGAAGTGGAGTGCAGCGGCGGTGACAGTGTTCTTACAATGCCTGGAGCAGTTCGAGGAGAACTGATGCCTGGATGAAATTATCTGCAAACCCCACTTAATTATTCTTTTACTTGGTAAAGCTACTGCGAGATGTTCATAAAAAAGGTTTGTTCGATTTATTACACGGTCGGAGTGCTCCGCGGTGTTCCCGTCCATATAGAAGGCTGCTGGCACTGTTTTTTTGGCTCTATCTTTTTTTATCGAATTACCGCTTATATAAAATTTTTTTGCCGTCCTTTCGACTTTATGACGAGGGATCACTTTATATTATTGAGCTAGCGTCTTATCAGACATTATGCATCTGGGAGCAGACAAACATTAGTTATTCTTTTGTATCTTTATCTTTCCATTGAAAATTGTGAATGGCTTTGCACTAGGGATTATGACCTTAATTGTAAGGTCATAATTATAATCATCTCCACTAGACTGACTAGCCTTTTTGTTTATATATAAAATTACACATAATTCCTCATTTTTTGTGTGTGGCCCGTACAGGTTGGCCGAGCAACAGCATCATCGAAACAAGGTTGACGCCTTCCGCAACCGGAAAAGATTGCCGCTTCCAAACGGTGTTCTTCCAACTGAGTCAGACCGTCTGATGCATCGCTCTGTGGATTCCGAAGAGTAAGTGGTTCTCTTTTTATTTGTTTTTTCTTTATTTATTCATTGTTTCTTTACCGTATTTGCACGAACATAACGCGACCACTAATATAACGCAACAGCAAGTTTTGAAGCCCCTAAAAAGAAAAAAAAATTATCACTATCATGACACAAACGTAAAGTTACAGCACTCTGTAGTAAATACTCGTCGCCAAAATTTTGAATAAAAGAAAAGCGGTCACCCGAGAGAATAAAAGGGATCCGATACGGTCGGTGGCTGAAGCATACTCTCTTTATTCAATGGTGAACAACATGGAGGTCGAGCGCCACGGGGACGCGACCCTGACAACACGGGCGCAATGGTGGACAGTGGCGCCATCTAAATAGTGTGTATAGAACTTGCGAAAAATTTAAATACAACACACTCGAGGGCATAGGAGAAGTGAAGAGGGGACGAGAATCGGGAAAATATGGTGTATATTAGGACTGTGCTCATCGTCTCTGCTCAGCTCCTTGTCACTGTCGAGTTCACAACTTTGGAGATATACTTGTCTCACAGTTTCTTTTTCTTTGGTTTGAGCTCCTTGTCCGCAGGCTATTTCTCCTCAACCACGGTGGACCGTGTCAAGTCATCTAGCTTGCAAAGCGCACGAAGCAGAAGCACCATCGCACAAATGCCCGAACACTTTCAGAAACTAAAAAATGCCTGACAGAACAGAGACTGCTGGAAGCAATACGTGATCATCGTTCTCGCCGTTGTTAGGGTCTCTCTGTATAAACACACACCTCCTGTTTAGTGATTGCGGTAAACATGGCATACGGTCTTTGCTTGGCTTGTGTCTTGGCTCAAACTGGCCGGTGTCCCTCATTCCCGTGCGGCGCGTCATGTTTTTTCTTGCGGCCGCTTGCGTTGTGCGAACATAAAAACTACAGAGAAGGCTTATTCCTCTCTTTACGAGGCGTAACTACAAAGTCAGTGACAGGTTAAGGGTAAAGTGGAAGCTTCTTCCAGCTCTTTCCACTTTGGCAGAGCGAATGCTGGAGAAGAGGCAACCTCCTATCCAGCGTTCCTTTTGCTAAAGTGGAAAGAGGAGGGTGGAGCTTCCACTTTACTCTTAATTTCTCACCGACTATGATAACTTTCTTCCCCACGCCCCAGTTTCTTTTCGCACCTAATCCCCTACGTTCAGTCGGAGGTATAGCTTTCTCGCGACTCAAGCGCCTCGTGGCCGTGCTCGATTCCGAATCATAACGCGAGGCATGTTTTGGAGCACGGCATTTTGAAAATCATCTCGCGTTATATTTGGGCACATACAATACCGGTTGTAGGCTTGCATTAGCATGGTTTTGGATGTAGCCTTTGCTGTGCGGCACTGCATTGGAATGCTTTGCCATGCTGAAATCAAGATCGTCTGGCATTATCCTGCTTTTAATGGACGTATTATTAACATTAGTCAATTGAATATTAGTAGAACTGTAAAAATTAATCCTTAAAATGTAGATTAAGCTTGTTAAAGGAGAGATATAAACCTAAATTTTAAATATAAAAAAAAAAAAAATCAGTTTTCATCTTTGAAATTTTTGGTTTCAGAAACTAATTACACATTCTTACACCAAATGTGATAACCGTGTCCCAAATAGTTATGTTGATATGAAATATTTTCAACACATTGTGAGGAAGTAACAAGGTAAAGGAGTTCAACTCTTTGCGGCAAAACAGATGCACCCAACCTGTCGTCTGCTTTCTTTCTCCGCTCTTCTGTCGCTTTCTTTTGCTCAGTGTTCTGCTCTGGTCTTTACTCCTGCCCCGAAATTATTATAATAACTGGATGTGGTTGCAGGAGCAGTGGCGGGGTCCTCGAGGACTCTGAGAACGAGAGCCTGGCCTCGGAAGGCGGCCCCGCATCCCCGCCGACCTCCCCCGGACGGAGCGGGTCCGTGTCCGTCCCCGGGAGGGCACCCCACACCGGGGGCTCCACTTTCCGGGACCAGAAGAACCTCATCCACATGCTGAGCACCAGCGAGGCCAGCAACCTGCCGCTCAGGGGAAAGGGCTCCCAGAAGGTACGCCCCCTCCTTCGTCCGTTTCGTTGCGACGCCCGGAATGCCGCTCTGACCGGCGTTTGCCGCCTCCTCGTTTGCGTTCCCTCGATTTCCGCTTGTCGTGACTTTTCTTTTCACCGTGACTTTTCTCTTTGTCGTGGCTTTGCAAATTTGTTTAGTGGGCGCTGACTAAACAGTGAAGTTTAGATGAAGTGGGTTTAGTAGCGTGGCCGCCCCCGTGCGGCATTGATGGCAAGACCGCTCGTTCCACATCCAGGTGCCCGTGCGGAAGTGTCTCTCGGAGATTGCCCCTGACAACAGCTTCAACAAGCAGGGCCAGGAGAAGAGAAGGGTGCGTCATAGTTTGCTCATTACAACTTCCCCACTTGCTGTTTGCGAGCCACAGCTCCCCGATCCAAGTTTTTAATTGTTTGTATGTTTTATGTTTTATTTGTAGGTCGCTCTGCATCTATAAGTTTCGACTTTTAACATCCCAGTGTTGCTTCCGGAATGGAGCTGTCCGTCCCTAACCACCTTTCTAACTCCCTGAAGTGTTGCTTCCGTGTTGTAACTTCCGGTTTCCCATCCGTTACCCGATATCACAATTTCTGGGTTCTGTCTTCTACTGCCGCCTTGCCCAGCTGTTATGCCTACTTTTGGTGGCATTCATCTTATAGAGAAAACGAAAGCAAAACACAAGAAGGGGACAAAGACAGACACATTCAGTGCTCTTGAAAATTAACGTCCTCACTCTGTTACCGAGAAATGTATTTATTGCTGGCTGCTCAATGCTAAATTTGTCATTGCAGAAGATGGAATGTCTTCTCCAGGCTGGGTTGTGATCAGAGAATTAATAACTTCATTTAGTTTGACAGTTAGGTACAGGAATAGTGCAAAAAGTGCCAAAAATGAACCATCTCGGGGCATCGTCAAGTTTGGGAAGCACTGTGCCCTGCCTTTTAAAGCGGCAGCTTTGTAGGGCCAGCAAACCTCGGGAGCCGCGGAAGCACTAAATGTGTAGGTCGGTCAGTCTGTCACCGCCACACGATCTGGAAAAATACGGCAACCATTGCCAGGAACCAAACACTGGTCACCAGCGTGGAGGCCGAGTGCGCCGCTGACTGAACTATGTACCCAGCATGCAGGAACGGGAGGAGCAGGAGCAGGTGGAGCGAGGAAGTGTGCGGAGTGGAGGGGGGTGGAAAGGGCAAAAAAAGAGAGTGGCAGAAACAGGTGGTGTAAAAAAGAACACGTTAATTGAGGAGGAGTGGAAAGGGCAGGAAAGTGAACTTCCCCTCTTTGTAACCCAGAAAACGCAGTGCAAAGGCGTCATATCCGGATGGTGCTGAAGGGAAGCGCGTGCAGCGTCACAAAGAGGGGTGGGGGTGTGACATAATCTGTTTCTATACAAAACCCTGCCGCCCCAGGCACTTGGAGAGTAAGGGTCATCCTGCCTTAGGCACCACCTGAACTAAGAACACCACCCATCTTAGAAAGCTACCGCATACGCGTTTGACAGAATGATCAAACATGCAGCCAATTTTATATTTTGTATTAGTTTTCTTAATAGGTACGCCAATGTGACGGTCGAATATATCTGTCTTCCGACCGTGTGTCCGTTTCAGACCCCGTCTGGGTCCGGCCAGACAAACAACGGTACTCCCAGCAACCACAACACTCAGGAGGATGGGGCCTCGGGGGCCCTGAAGGAGGAACTGAAGGGGCCCCTGCACAAGGCACGCAAGCACTTCAAGACCTTTATAGGGAGCAAGAAAGACAAGAAGGAGAATCGAGACGACACTGACGAGTCGGGGGGAGAGGACGCCCTGTCCCCAAGGGCCGAAGGTGGGTGACCCCCCCCCCCCCTTTTTATGTTTCTTCCTGCAAGGACAAATCAATCGGTCATTCAGTGGAAGGGGCTGTGGAACCATTTGGTTACTTCAGCTAAAAACTTAATAAGCGTTTCTCGATCGCATCCGATGTACTCGGAGATGCGCAGCATGTGTTGCGAATGAGCTGGGCCCGTGCTGCGTACATTAGCACTGCGTCAGGTTACAAGGTTGCAGGACTCTCCGACATTGCACGGTGTCGCCTCACATCGGACGTCGAGGTCGTATAAGCTAGAGTCTTCGAACGTTCCCTGTGCTGACAAAGCTGCTAGGGACGCCCACGAAGCTGATAATACCTGTGCAATTCCTCTGTCAAGGACAGATGCAAATGATATAGTTCGAAAAATTGGGAGAGAGATATCATCCAGACTATGGACAGATCCATGCTACTATTATGCGCACTTGAAACATTGACCCGGAATTAAAGTTCCGAATGCCGGGAAATATAAAACGACGAACAGAAACTGTGCTGCATCGAATACGCTTGAATGTGGCTTTTACTAGAAAATATCCTCATATGATCGGCCAAGTAGATTCACCGCATTGTACAGCATGCTCAACAACGCACGACATTAAACATGTACTCTGCCATTGTTCACTATATAGTTCCCAAAGGAAAATACTAAAACAATCCTTGAAGATACATGATCAGGACATTGAGCTCAGCCATATATTAGGACCCTGGACTTCAGTAGCAAAAGAATCCAAAGAAACCAACGCTTTACTCCGGTTCTTAAAGGACACCCGCCTGGACCAAGAGCTGTGAACTGACATCACTCTTTTTAATTTACGTGTGGCTATTTATTTTTCGCCAATCTTTGAGTGCGTATATATGTGTTTGAGTATATGTTTGTGGGATGTGTATGGGGGAGGGGGGATACGAGTGTATATGTGATCTCACTCTTTCTTTACTTCTCTATTCTGTCTGCTGTCTCTCTGCTCTCTTCCTTTTCACGCAAAGTAGCAAACCAGCACTCACAAGCAGGTTGACCTCTTTGCTTTCCTGTAAATAAACAAACTTCCTCTCTCTCATTCCCAGAGTACCGAAACTCTCAGGCTTGAGGCGCCAAGATGGCTGCTAAATTTTTTTCTTTAGTGTGGTCATTATGAGCTCTTAGAAGACATGCTTTTGCATAGACACAGAAGGAAAAAAGCTCTTTTTGTAGGAAATTTTATTGAAGATTAGTACAGAACTACAGGAGGCATCATGTTTTCATAAAATTTTAGTTTATAGGGTTTTGTGGCACAGTTAATGTTGTTTTTATACAACCGTGGTGACCTCGGGTAGTGTGCCCCGACCTGGGTGCATCCTAACTTCGGTGATTAGTCGCGGCGCGTCCGCTTGGGGGACGAGGGTTGGCCGCCCTGAAACCCCTTCTATTGTCTACGTTTTGACACCAAAACGGCCAATCAAAGCCAAAATTAAACAGTAAGAGCGGATGCTATTGAGTGCGATACTCTGGCAACATACAGTGACTCTAGTATAAACGACGTACCCCCTAGGGGCTATATTGCTCATACCACCTTGACCCTTGTGTCGATTGAGCGTAACGGAGTACTTTTCTCACGAAACTCGGCCCCGTGACACATTCTGCGTTAAAACCGCTTGAAATAAATCTTTAATTTTCATGACCTACGAAATGTGTGTACAAGAGTCGTAGGAAAAAAAAAATGGCAGAAAAAGTGAGAACAAGTGGTCATGTGACCCGGTCACGACCACACGCTGCGAATTTTCATCGTAGTTACACACTGGCACATATCGGGAGCCACAGTGCACGCGGCGCGTGCTGCAAACATTGCTAGAGTTGGGGTGTTCCAGTCCCCGCAGCGATTGGACCCGAGCCTGTACGTCCGTTGGGGCAGAGGTTTTCAAACTTTTTGGTCTCGCGGAACCCCAGGAAGCCTCAAAAACTGCCGTGGATGCCCCGCCCCCCCCCCTCCCCTCCCCTCCCCTCCCCCCCTCTCCATATTTGCCGACCGAGAAGCAGCAGATGCACTTTTGTAGCAATTTTGCTTGTGTTGCTTCCCATATATCCCCACCATATCAATCGCGATATCAGTACAAAGTGAGATGAAGGCGCTTTGCATGGTCCTGCCGCGCAGCCTGCGGCATTGGGGGGGTTGCAATTTGGGTGTTCGCGGAACCCACGAGACCAGCTCATGGAACCCCTGTGGTCCCCGGAACCCAGTCTGAGAACCCCTGCGTTGGGGTATCAGTCGCGGAAAGCTTGTGCGAGGCTCCAAATGCTTGTGTCATGCAAGTTATTTTTGTTAATTTTTTCTGGCTGCTTTAGCTACTAACACGAGCTTGTGAAAATGACGCCGAATTCTGCGCTCTTTTTTTTTTTTGCGGATGCAGGGCTGTGCACCGAGCCAATGCCGGGCGAGAAAAGGTTTGCAGCGCACACCATCAAGAGCGTGAGCATGCGCTACAAGGGGGAGCTGTGCGCAGTGTGCGAGAACAACATGTCGCTCTTCATCAACCAGGGTAGCAAGTGCACACGTGAGTTTGTCGACGCCGTAGTTCCTGGACTATAGTCCGTGACCGGCATATAGTCTGGAGGGGCGAATTTCGGTCGAAAAGGAAAAGGTTTTCTAGAATATTCCATTCCTGGTGCCCAGTCCGCACGTAAAGCATTCCCGCAAATCGTCATTGACTTGCTCCACGATTCAGAAATTTGTTACGTCTCGTCATAACAAACAATTTAGAAAAGACCAGTACTCTTATAGTATGCACCGTGCAAACTTTCAACTTTTAGTTGTGTACAGTAATTTCTCGGTAACTCGAACTCGGCCATCTTGAAATGTTGACATAGGAACAATGCATTTACTCCTCACTGATCTCAAAAAATTTTCAGGACCTACCTCTGTTATCTCAAAATCTTAAAAACCAACATTACTAAAAAAAAAAAAAAAATCGGGCAGGGCACAGCAAACAGTGAATAGGTGGCCTAGACATTGGTTGACTAAGAAAAAGCAATCTAAAAACAAACTCACAAGAAAAAAAAAAGAAAAAAATTGTGCAATTATCTGAGCAAAGCAAAAAAAAACAAAAAAACTACCTTGTCATGAGTGCAGCAAAGCGGCAGTGCCTCAAGGAAACTTGTTGTCTTGTACTCTTTCTCCCCTGATACTTGGAGGTCGGTGTGTTTCTTGTGTTCCTCTCGTTATGTTCCACTCTCTGTCTTTTTCTTTCATTTTTTTTTTGTTAAGAATTCTTCCAGTTCGTTTTTTTTTAGTTCTTGCTTTTTGGTTTTGTTTCATCTCATAATGTTGCTTGTTGAAAATTTTGTTGCGATGTTTTGTTCTCCCCACTGACCCAGCTGGCCTGCTGTGCCCTGTGGGTGTCAAGTCAATTAATGCAATTGTTAGGAGGGTTCCATTCTCACAATGTGAAATCTAGATCGGTGCAAGAAAAATTGGGTACCTAGCTTATCTCGAAACTCAGCTTATCTGAAAATATTTTTTCTAGCTTTTATGATTTCGAGCCAACGAGGTTTTACTGTATAGTCCGTAGGCTATATAGTCTGGAATGTGCAGTACTCCCAAACATTTTTGGGTTTCATTCTTCATCAAAAAGATAAATCCTCTCTTTTCCCTGGCTAGGCACTAACTCTATTTGTAGCTTTGAAGTATGAGGCATTTTATGAGCTCAAAACTGCATTATTGCACATGTGCATATCTACAACAGACCATTGCTTTGAGCCATGCAATGCTAAGTGAGAGAAGTATGGCTTGCGTTACACTGTGGTCACAAGACGTTTACACCGTATTCACTCGAATATAAGTTGACGGCAAATATAAGAATCGAAAAAATATTATTCAAATATAGGTCATACTTTTTTTTTTTTTTTTAAGAATGCGGGCAAGTTTGGGCAAGTGAAACAAACAAATTTTTATTTATGGCACTCTCGGCTAAATTACAGTGCGATACCAAAAACTTCGTTATTGTCAAAACTTCCGGACATGTCGTCGTTGTCGTAAGTTTTGCTAGCTTCGTTGACAATACTTGCAACAATACCTCTCGCTGACGCTGTTGCAATATGGTGGCAACGAGAAACGGGAAGGGAGCAAACAAGGTGTGTGGCGTTGCGTGGCACGGCCACGGCGGGCCGCCAAGTGCCGATGTTTTGGATGTGATTGTGCATCGAAAGCTTTCAGAAATGATAAGCAGCATGACGCTACGTCTACTCCGGCTCAATGGCTGGACGGCTCACTGTGCTCAGTAGGGTCGCTAAATTTGGTCGCAAATATAGGTAGAAATTTTTCAGTCGGTATTATAGGTTGACCCTTCTTTTTCGACAACATTTACAGGGAAAAAAAAGATAGGCTTATATTCAAATGAATACGATACCTCTTTTTGTTTTTTACGTGCTGGACTGTCTTTCGTGTATTAACACGTGTAGCATGGGATTTCGGGTTTGGCGTCACGAACGTGAAATGATTTTATGGCGATAGCTGTCTTAGTGATTTCCCGTCTGCATTCTCGGCGTCAGCATTACCGGGCAGGAAACTTCATTTTGCGTGCACCTGTGCGTGCACCGCCCCATGACGCCGGGAAAGGCACGCATACCTAGCCCTTGCTAGGCAACAGTGTCTTCTATGGTTGGCATGAGACGCTGCTATGGATTTTTCACCATAGAGCTCGATTGGCACATACTGTCGGACGTAGATCATCCCACCACTCGTAACGGTACTACCTGCCTCGATTTAGTCTTAGTAGGGGACGCATACTCTGTGTTCCCTTTCCCACATACTTTAGCGACCGTAGGGCCATGTTGGGTGTGATAGAGTAAATAAAGAGTGGATGTACATGAAAGAGGCACGCCGGCGAAAACTACGCTTGGCAACGTCCGCAGTTATTCGTTTGCACGCCAACAAAAAGCCGTTCTTGTCTTTCCGATTTTTGTGCCCGCGTCTCGCTCTAACTGCCGCACGCTCGTCTCTTTGCACGTCGTTCGCTCCCAGGCTGCAAGCTGCTCTTCCACCCCAAGTGTGCGCACTTCGCCGACAAGCTCCCCTGCAGGAGCAATAGCCTCGGGAGCGAGCCCACCCCTCCGAGCCGCTCTCACAAGCAGGGCAGGGGCTCCTGCGGCTCCGTGGAAGGCGTCCCGTCGCACCCCCAGGGTGTCCACTCGCACCCCCAGGGCGTCCAGTCACACCCTGCACCGGCCCAGTCGCAGCAGCAGCACGGGGGGTCCTGGAACGTGACCCGGACGGCGGAGTTCAAGGACCCCGGCGACGTCCTCATCACCGACGTGTCTGAGCTCAAGAATCTCGACTCGTTCCTTGTCAAGAAGGTGGGTTTGCACTACTTGAGAGACTGGCGTGGAGCAGGAGCTTGTAAGGCCAAATCGCCAAGTTGATTGGCAGCCCGTGCTAATTTTTTATATGGTTTGGGTGGTTTGTGATGGGCATTGAATGTGTCTGGCGTGCCCATTTTTGATAAGGATGAGCGTCGTACCGGTAAATGTTTGTGGGATCACTATTGGCTGTTGCACATTAAACACTCCAGGCTAGTGGTTGGCGGGCTCTTTCATGTTGCCACGAGTGGCCAATAAAGCTAGATTAGCGAACGAGCAGTCCCACTCCGTTGGCCGAGTTTCTTTCCTATGGCGTGAATCGGTGTTGTCATGTCTAAAAGGCTGTCTAAGCCTGTTGTGTCTAGTTTGCTTCTTTTCATTTTTTCTTTTTGTTTTCGAGGCACATTGTCTGAGGTTTGTAGGCTTACTATTTGTATAGTGCTGAAGGCAACCCTTTTGAATTGCCTACGAGACATTTGTAGATGTCTAAATTTTTACTGACTCGTGGCAAAAATCATTAACCAGCACAGAGCAAATGTTTGTGGCTCACAATATTTTTTTTTTGGTGGACACAGATATATTGCCCGTGGAGGTCCACCCCCACCTATCTCTCCATCGGTCATGCGTGATAATGATGAACAGCTTAGAATATTTGAAATGTAATGAGCCATCTGAACGAATCCATAAAACATAATTTTTATGATCACCGAAAATGCATAAATTTAAAGAAAAATTCACTGCTTACCCACGGAAATTAAAACAACCGAAGTTGCTTCCAATGTCTCCGATGTTAAGCATTCCTCTGCCGTGCTTCTTTGGCTTCATTTCGACTGCTTGGTTTTCTTGGCAAATGTGCAACTTTCTGGTGAAAAATAATTTTGTCTCATTAAGCAGGGGGCTTTGCAAAATGAAATGAGAGGGGTCATGTTGGCACTTTTCCTGTGCAACAGGTGGGTCACCTATCCGGAACGGGCAAGAAACGAGATTCAACGGTGGACGTGGTTTTCAAGAAGGCACTCAAGAAATTCAAGTCAAACTTGATCAGTACATACTCTGCAGCCGCACAGGTGAGTCGGAGAGGGGTCGAGAAAGTCCCTCAACTTTTCCTTCTTTTTTTTCACTGTCCGGAGTTTCTTACGAAACCTGGGTAATTGAGGCGCTCGAACTACTGTATTGCAGCATGTCTCTGTGACATATCTACAGGGCCTTGAAAAAATTTGAACACTTTAGCTATCGATTGTTTTGCATAGAGTCTTTGACTCTTCCCTTTGTGAAGCATGCAGAAGCTATCAGTTTTTGTTTGCACATGCTAATTCGTGAAAAAAAAAAAAAAAAGAGGTGCGTTGACGACATTTATATTTGTTTTCTCTAAGAATGTCTTTCTTTCCTACAATTTATTAACAAGAAGGGTGTAGCAGACCATTCATTGAGTGTGTATAGCTCAGTGTTGAACATTAGATGCTACAGTATAGACCACTTACAACGTAACCGCTTATAGTGCAGGACCGGGTATAACGCGTTTTTTTAAACCACCGGTTCGCCTCGCATAGAACTCCATGTAATTACATACCGCTTAAAATGCAGGCGCGCGAAGGGAAATACCGGTTATAGTGCGGTTTCTGGCACAGCCCGCCGATCGCTCCGACGACCGGAGCAGCGAGCACGCTTCCCTGTGCGACACTAGATAGCGGCGCTGACGGCGCGAGCAAGCGTGGCAAGCCGGGCAAGCGGCACTCGCGGGGCAAGGAGGTTGCTCGAAGAAGGGGGGGAGGAGCGAAGAGAGAGGCTTCAGTTGCCATAGCGACGGAGGGACGCACGCACGTGTCGTTCACGTGCTCATGTCCCTCTGCTGCGTTCGAAACAACCGCAACGACAGACCAATCGTAGGTCGAGGAGAAGTGTTCGCGCGCGATGCATGCCGTTCGCTGGCCGGCTGCTTCTATCCGCAAACATGGCGTCGCGTTGGTTGTAATCGTCGTCGCAGACGGCAATCATCTCATCGTTCCGCGTAAAAGCGCTATCCTTGACTGTGAATTTTCGTTGTGTGTCGCTATAATAACCCAGCACGTACTAGAAGGGAAGATCCACCTACTCGTGCGGCGATGTTGTGGCGGCACTCTTAAGACAACAGACACGCCCGTGTCGTCGTGTTTGTTTACTTCGAGTACAGTGGTGATTTCTAAGCATTTGTGTCCTCGAACATCGCCCGGATTTCTTATTTGGCACATTTCATGCGTGTGCTCAAGTTCAAGGTATTACTGGCGCGTACCGTATGAAGGATGCGAATTTTCATGCGTTTTCATCGCCCGAGAAAAGTGATTAGGGTTAGCAATCCTGAACACTCGCAAAGTCCGCCCGCAACCCGCGACGCCGTTAAAAGGCTGCACCAGGCAAAAGTCGCTCATTTCTTTCAAAATGTGTGACACACTTGAGAGTGAACTGTACTAGTCTGGTGAAATAAAGACTTTCCTCAAACTAAGCTTTATTTTTTATCTAACATAAAATAAATTATTTTACAAAGGTAGGTTGTCTCATGGCATGTATTTTGGCCTGAAAAATTTATGTTTTGGTTATAACGCGGTACCGCTTATAGTGCGGATTTTCGCGACTCCCGCGACATACGTTATATGCGGTCTACACTGTATATGGTGGGTCATAGAAACCGAGAAAGAGCAAAATAAGACAAAGGGAAAGCCCCTTTAGCCAGCCAGTTCTTGCTTCACCAAATGCCTCACCAGAAGATCGCTATGGTCCCCTAATGGCAGTATCTCAAGGGGAGAGAAGGATGAAGTACAAAAACTGAAGAGGGACATAAAAGAGTGGTACAGATGATGCAGACTGTGTTGTCTGTATTGTCTTTTGTGTCTCATTTTCATTCTTGGAATACATCCACAGAGAAGGATGATATTTTTCTCCACTACCAATTTCCCTCTCATGGTTCCTTCAGCTACCCTATAAAATGGAACCTGGCTTCCTCCACATGGTCCCCTTAGCTGTCCTATGACATGAACCCTGGCCAGTATTTTATGGCCCCTTCAACTATATCATGAAACACAACCTGACTTCTATTTTATGGTCCCTTCAACTACTCCATGAACTGAACATGGCTTAAGTTTTGTGATTTTTTTCAGCTGTATTATGACACAATGCCTGGCTTCTATTTCAGAGTCTCTCCAGCTATACTATGAATCAGTACTTGGCTTCTGTTTTATGGTCCCCTCATCTACTCTATAAATCAAAACCTGACTTCTGTTTCATGGTCCCCTAATCTACTCCATGAATTGGAATGTGGCTTCAGTTTGATGATCTCTCCAGCTATCCTATGACATGACACCCAACTTCTTTCTCATGGTCCCTTCAGACATGCTGTAAATGGAACTCGACTTCAGTTTTATGGTTTGTTCATTTACATGTGAACCCTGCTTTAATTTCAAGGTCCCTTCAACTGTACCGTGAAACAGAATCTGTCTCCCTCTGCTTCACGTTCCCTTCGGCCCCTGCAGGACGGTCGCCTGCGCCTGCGCTACAAGGACCTGACGGACCACTTCCTGCAAGTGGTCCAGTCGGTCATTGGCCAAGAGTCCTCCCAGGAGACGTTCCCCATCACCATGGCAGTCAACGCCTTCCGGGGCTTCCTGGACGAGTTCCGCAATATGTACCAGTCGGAGAGCAAGCCCAAGAGCAAGGTGGGCACTCGCAAGTTCTCGGGGAGATGTCAAAGGCGTCTGTACCGCGTCCCGTGCATTATAAAACTGCGAAGATAAAAAGCGGACGCCACAGACTTTCAGACGAAAGAAAAAAGATTCTGATAGAAAGTGACGCTGATTTAGAAACCTCGAGTGCTTTTGTATCTTCCCTGCATTTGACGCAATTTCTAAGCTTGGTGGTTCTTTCTAAGGGGTATGTAGAACCTTTCTGTAACAACCATATTTTCTAAAAGCAAAATTTTGACGACACCCTGGGACCTACCATATTTATTTGAATTATAGATTGACTACAAACAATTGGTCAACCCGTATGCTAGACGACCCACTGAGAATAAAAAAAAATACTTGATACAGGGTGGGTTTTTAAAAAACCGAAAGGGGATTTGCACGAACATTTGTTTGATGGCGTGCCTCTGTTGCAGGTTTAGAAAAGCACTAGTCCCCCCCCCCAACAAAGCTTGCAAAAGCAGAGTATGGTCATAAACCTACAAAAAATACCACAATATTAGTTTTTTTTTTTTTATTTCTGGCTTCTCCCCTTCATCTCCCCTCCTCGCTTCTTTTTATTTGTGACATTTAATAATGGCATTCGTAAAACATGTTATTTAACGCAATTGGGAATGCACTCTCTTAAAATATTGAAAATCAGAGTCCGGAAATGATGTAGTCTCCTCTTTGGGTCGAAGCGGTTCGGAGGCGTGAAAGAAACTCGAGTTACAGGACGACTCAGTCTTTGACGTCACTGCACTGGTGCGGATCGCGCGGGAACTTCACATTCGGCTTTTGGAAATTGTTTTCTTATTTCACAAATGCTGAGTTTCCAAGCTTCGAAGTTTGAGGGTAATGTCCAGGCTTTGGTTTTAATTGTTTCAGCTAATAAAAGAGATATGATTTTGACTGTTTGTGAAAGGAGGAAGCTCTTCTTAACCTGCAACGGACCATAGTTTCCCAACTAGGACTCGCTTGTCAATCGTACTGGACACATCATTGTCTTACAGTGACGGAACCTTGTGTGTGTGACTTTTTGCCGGTTCTCCTTGTGGACATTTTTCTTAGATCATTCGTGTTACGTGTTAAACATTTTTTGTGGTTTTCTTTTTTTTTCTTGGCCGGCTGTGACGTGTAGCAGTTAATAGTGCACCTTGAAGTCTGTTGCTTTTCGTAGAACGGAGCACTCATATCCTTTCTGGTTGTATCTTCCTCACAGGGCAAGAAGAGGAAACGAAAAAAGAAGCCGTCGCAAATTATTGTGAGTGTGGACTGGAGCCTCGCAACACTCGAATATCTGGCTTCGTACCTGCTCAATTTTAAAAGTGGCCCTTTGAGGATTCTCCCCAATCCTCATTCGAGGGCCAGGGTTTTATTACCATCCTCGAGAGCCATACATTAGAATAACCTTCAAAGGTTGTTTTTAACATTCTAACACTGTTCAAGGATTGCCCATTGGTTCACATTGTTTATTGTTGAGCAACGTTCCAGCATTGCTCCAACACTGTTCAAATTAATCGAAAGAGCTATGAAGTGTGATCTAGACAGGCTGAGGAAGGCTCCGATAGGATAACAAAGACTGGCTTCAGTTTTCCAATGATCTTGTAAGTTTGCCTTTCTTTGTCCTTGTCCGTAGACCGTTTCCAATTACAACTGACGCAGCGAATGCTACGAGCCAACCCAGCCAATCCAGTGCAATGAACTTGTCATGTGACTACATGCCCCATGCATCGCTGCCTCAAAGGTCACGTGGCATTTACACGGCTCTGGGTCAGCTTCAATAGCTCGTAGCGTTTTCTGTGGCATTGTAACATGAAAAAGTGCATAGTTCACGCTTTTTGTCTGTTTCGATTGATTGTGAACTGATTAGTCCAAACCGATGTTTCGATTCTATTGTTTAAAAAGTTGCTAGTAGTAAGATTGCTATTGTTAAACATTATTCAAAGTTGTTAAGTGTCGGACGGCGCTGTTCAAAGATTGTCTGAGGACTTCAACGTCATGCTGCAGCAAACTGGTCCCCGCACGCGTGCAGTGCGCTTTTTCCTCGTGTGGACAAATGCATGCTTGTTTGTAGACAGGCAGTTGGTCTGCAGTTCAATGCTGTCTTCTCCTTTGTCTAGGAGCACTGCGGCCACGTCTTCTCGCTGGTCGTGATCAACATCCCGACCTCGTGCGAGGTCTGCAGCAACTCCATGTGGCTCACCGAACGAGGGCTTGTCTGCCAAGGTGGGCCATAGGGATTTTTGTTTTACGGACAGGATCCCCAGGTCTGTTCCATGTAGGGTCGTTGTGGCACGTGACACGAGTGTCGTGCATCAGCGTGAAGTGACGTAATAAGGACGCACGATATCGTGGTGTCACGTCTTGGGGTTGGATCGACCTTCCTGCTTCCGTAGCCACAATTGTTGCCGATGGCACATTTAAGGCCGCCGCTACCGAGGCGTACCCTTTCGAGCTGCATTGAACAAGGGGATCTCTGGCACTTGGTTTCAAGTGCATAGAAATAAACGGGTAAATAAAAATGTGCCGTCCAATCCCCGCCTCAATCTGTCCAAACTTTTATGCATTCTCGCTTGTGCCGTGTCTCGAGCAAACGGAAACTGAGAGTGCAACTTCCCCTCGGGGCGCAGGTTGCAAGCTGACGTGCCACAAGAAATGCTACCAAAAGGTGGCCTCTTCGTGCAGAGACGTCAACATTCTCCAGGTGAGTGCATTGGATCCTGTCGTGCAACAGTAAAGGTAGAGCCAGTAAACGAGCCACGCTTTGAAATAACGATGGTTCACCCATTTTGGAGCATCGCTGTTGCCAGTTACTAGCTGTTGCCAGCTCTATCTGAAATCGCAGGAAATAGTACCCACTTTTTAAGGCGAGAGCCTTATATGTCACTTAGAGTCGTCTTAGGGATTACATAAAAGACCCTGTGAATTTTCTTCTTTCCGGAATGCTAGAACAGTTTACGACAGAGTGACATGACGCCACCTGTGCTTCCCGACACTATACCCACGGCTTGAACGCCAATTGCCCCCGCTCAACGCTAAGCTCTAAAATGGCGGTGCCCATGAGGAAATTGGGGAGTGCAAGTGCCTCTTCGGGTTCTCAAACTTTTCTATCTCGATGAATCCCCATTTGTCAAGACTGATGGCCGGGACTTCCTGTCTCGACAGCGATGCAGTAAAGCAGTGTAGACGTTTACAGGCCTCGTAAACAGTAACGCACACACTACCGAGCATTTGGCCTACGGTTACGCATCGAAGCGTAGCTTAGATCCGATACAATTGTGCTTAAACTGGGAAAACCCATTACTTGAGGGCAAAGGCAGTCGGGGAAATTGGGGAGTTGGGGGAACCCTCGGGGGTGCCCCTGCGTTCCTAGAAACCCTGTTTGAGGGCCCTGCTTTACGCATAGCTTATTTAGAGGCTGCAGTTAGAGAGGGACCCGCAGAGACGGACCCGTTGGCTGACCTCTCGTCCCTTTTGGTCCCCCGAAACCAGCAGGGGCGCAAGGTGTTTGGCGTGCCCCTGGGGCGCCTGGTGAGCGAGGAGGTGCGCATCCCCGTGGTGGTGGAACGCCTCATCACAGCCATAGAGATGAAGGGCCTCTACGTGGAGGGCATCTACCGCAAGTGCGGCATCACCTCCCGGCTCAACCAGCTCAAGCAGGACATGGACGACGGTAAGACCCGCACCTCCCTTCCTAAGCGTCTCTGTATGCTGTAGAAGCGCACGCTAATGTTTCCCTTTGTGTCCCACACCTTGTTTCATGTCTTGTGGTCTGGGTTTTGTGCCACGCGTACAAGCTTTTACCTCAGATGCACTGATAATAGTTGATCAGTCTACTAAGCTTCCGGTTCCTCTTTATCTCGCTAGTTACGACCGTACGTCTGTAGCCCGAATTTGATGTGCCGTCACTTCGTGCCTCAACGCCATCCGTGCCTCTGAATGCTTGCCGCAATACGACTATGCAGATCCGGAAGGCGTCGACCTGGACTCGTATCCAATTCACGTGCTGACGGCCACCCTCAAGGCGTTCTTCCGCGAAATGCCGGAACCGCTCATGACGTTCGAGCTCTACGACAGTTACTTACTGGCCACAAGTGAGTGTCGTCTCTGGTGACTCTGCCCCTCTCAACGTTCCCTCTTTTGTTGGGTAAGCATTGGGGTTCCCGTCGTATTGGTGGTAAGTTGGCCATGAGTAGGTCTAGTTCGCTGTGTCGGAGATTGGGGGGATAACGTCAAGGCATGCACCGACGGTGAAAACTCGGAAAATGTGAACCTTTTGGGAAAGTCTGCAAATTAGCAGATAGTTCAGCAAATGCACTAAAAGAAATGTACCACCCGTATATTATTAAACACAGCAGTGGGGGTCGCAGAAATGTGCGACGGTGACGCATGTGTTTGGATACCTCTAATCCTGCGTGGATAGCTCTACTACGGCCACTACTCTCAATTGGAAGGCAACTATCAGTTGACTATCAGTTGATGGAAGACAACCATCATTTGGCTTTAGCCGTCAATTCAGATTTGTTGCAGCTTGCAATGAGTTGACATTGTGAAGTTAAATGTAGTATTATTGTTATTGTTGATAGTTCTCGACATTTTTTTTTCTACCAGTTAGTCTGTAAAATTTAATTATAATAGTCTGGGACGAACTGAAAGTCCGAACTTGTGCACTTTCGGTAAACATATCTTTAGTTGTGAGAAGTGAGAAGGAAATAGAGAGCTCTCTCAGTTAATCACTAAAAGAGCCGTGACATCAGTTATGTTTAGAGACTTGCTTTTAGTGGTTCTCCATGGGAACCGACACGTCCCACTTTGAGGCAAAGATAAAAATGGTTACAATTTGTTTGTGCAGACTTTCAGGACCCCGAGGAACGTGTGCAAGCCATCTTCATGGAAACAAAGAAACTGCCACCTGCCCACTACGACCTTTTTGAAAGACTGGCGTTCCACCTTGCCAGGTGTGTTTCCTCTTAACCCTCGGGCCAAGGTTACTAGAACCACTCAGTTGGGAAACTGCCATAGAGCCTGCACTGAAAAAGTGGAACCGACCTGTACACGAAGAACCGAGCTAATGGCAATCGCAACACCGCCACTTCTCCCGCAGTGGCCACTCGGGGAACTGCACGCATTGATAGCGTCTGCTGTGACTGTTCTATTTTGGCTTTAATCGGCTATTTTAGCGCCAAAACATATACGGTAGAAGGGGTTTTTGGGATGCCAACCCCCGTCCGCCAAGCGAGCGCACTGCGATTACTTCCGAAATTGAACCACTTGAAATCACCGGTCAGACATGGCTGCATAAAAACAATATTAGTTGTGCTGCAAAACCCTGTAAGCTAAAGATTTTATTAAACATCATACGCCTGTTATTTTGTACCAATCTCCAATGAAAGTTCCTACAGAAATAGTTTTTTTCCCGTTTGTTTTTACGCAAAAACATGCTTTCGGAAAGCTCAAGGTGACCACAGTAAAGAAAAAAAGATTAAGGAGGGCGCTGTTATCATATTTAGCTCGGTCTCGATAGACGCCAGCGGCCCAGGTTTCAACGGTGAGTTTCCCGACTGAGTGTTCTAGTACCATTGCCTCGTGCTTATTCTTGGATTCTCATATTGCAGTTTAATACTCATTAGGGTTTGCTTGCTCTCTTCGTATTTGATGCCGTTACACTTTTCCAAGGATTGCTGCGAGCCCTAGTGCCTTTCCCTCTTACCCTGAAAAGCGTCGTCGCATGATTGTATCGCATCTGGCCACGTGGGGAAACTAGGCTCATGGGAGTCTAGTTTTGAGAATGTCGGTGTGGTTGCAGCTATTTTCGGATGGGAGAATGCTCACACCAAGTAATCTGAGAGTGCTCATTGGTCTGGTGTTCAGTACTTCTCATAACGTCTTGACTTAGTAGTCATTTTTTTTTTGTGTGTGTGTTTTTTGTGCAGGGTGGCACAGCACCAGGAATTCAACCGGATGTCACCCGAGTCGCTGGCCATTGTGTTTGCCCCCTGCATCCTCCGCACCAACAAGAGGCTCCAAGCACAAGACACCCTGGACTGTGTCAACAAGCAGACCATGTAAGTCTGCCTCTGGCTAATTCGTGCTAGCAATTCGCCACGGCATGCCAAAATGTAGACCTTGTAAAATGGACAGCCAATGTGTTGGCAAGAATTCACCTTACAGTGTGTGACATAAACAGTTCAAAGGACCCACTATGGTCTCATATATATTGCAGTATTAGTGTTCTCCAACCTGATTGGGAAGCGTGAGCAGTCGCTGTTGTACCTACTGCCAAAAGGATCTAATCAACCAACCTGCGGTTCAGAATGTCATGGAATTAAGTGAAATCGAGCTGGGAGAACTTCCACTGCACCTGAACTAGTCTACCGTAATATCCTGTGGTCATTGTCCAACCCCACCTGCCGCCCAAAATTCGTAAAAAAATGTGGGGTGGGCCATGTGTCAGCGGGTAAGTGCTAAAAATTTAGAAAAAGCTAAAACAAAAAAAAAATTTCAATATTTTTTGTACATATTTATTACGGCTGCACAGGAGGTACATAGCTCAAAACTCGAATTAGTTTTATTGTTTTATATAAAAAATGCTCACGAGAGAATATTTTATTATCGCCAAGCCCGTTAATTGCATACGCGAGATGAACACCACCCATTGGCACGTGAAAGCATGTTTCTGAGGCCGCTGTGTTCTCTTCGTTATGCGCCTTACCCTTTGCTGTTCTATAGATTAAAAAATAAATGGAGTAAAAAAAAAAGTGTAAACAAGAAAGAAAAAAAAAAAGGCAACCGGGCGCAAGAAGCGAGCAAGCGAGCGGGCGAAAGGAGCTACGAAGAGTGATGCTGGGGAAGCAGGAAAGCCAGCGATCACGGATGGAAATAATTTAGCGTCGGGCCAAGTCGAGCAACCGGTCAATCACAAGGAGCCGGCTCTTGTGCAGTTTTTTTGTTTTGTTCATGTGTGCGTCCACGTGCGGCGTGCCATCAGTGCGGGTTGAGGCAGCGTTGCTGTGTGGCGTGGATGGCACCGCGATGGCACGGAGCTGGAAATGGGGCGCCTTGCAGACGTCTGTGTGCGGCGTTCTAGCCAACCTTCATTTAGCCGTTGGCCTTGTCTCAAACGTTGCGCAACCTTATTAACCGCGGTCGTGACGTTCCGGGAGAAGGGGTGAGTTCGCGGTAACCTCGTTTGGGTAGAGAAGCGGTTACGTTCCGGGACATGGGACATTTGCCGACCTCTCTGACCTGATTGCGTTTTCTTTCCAAGCTCTTTTTTTTTTCTGTTTGAACAAATTTTATTTGTTTTCTTTTGTTATCTCTGTCGTTTTCCTTTTGCATGCATGTGCTACGACTTCGGGGTCGGGGTCGCGGCAATTGGAAAGGAAATGCGTAAACAAACTGAAGTGTCTTTACCTCCTTGGTTTTACTTTGCCACGGCTGTCCTTTAACCGTAAGGTTCATGGCCGCGTTATTTGGGTAAGATAAATATTTGTGGATCGCGGAGCGTGCATTGGAGTATTTGTAGGAGTGGGCGATCACTCTCTGTTGTTTTTCTTTGGAAATCAATATTCGCCCAAAAAGTGGGGTGGGCAATGACTCGGGTATGGGCGATGACTTTGGATGTCACGGTAGTGTTTTTTTTCTCCTAACAGGCAGCTAGCACTGGTCTTATAGGGTTGACAGTCTCTTAATGTATTTTCAGAAACAGAAAGGGAGTGGTGAGAATTTAGTGTTGCCACCGGTGGTAGGAGTGCGTGTCTTCAGCTGTACGTTGATTCGGCCACCGTCTATGGAAAGCTTTTTGTTGGGGCACCAATCAGGCAGCTGTGGACATGCCCTAGCGTGTCTCGGCCATTGCACGACCTGCACATGCCAGTATCAAGATGGCAGCGCCCAGGGGCCATACGTGAAAATACGTATAGAGTGGTGGGACGTTCACAAATGGCTCTGGCCGTGTTTTTTTGCAGTTGCGTCCGGTGCATCATTCAGGAACAGCTCAAGAAAGTTCAGGACACTCTGAACGACATCGACAGCCTGGACACGGCAGTCAATACCGTCGTCAGCAGGCTGAGCACCCTGCGCTCCTCCAGGGTGAGACAGATGCTTTTCCTTGTGCCTTGAATGTTGCATGTTGTAAGGGAACCATAAAGCAATTTTTTATGGCGACAGCTGTCATGGTTTTTTTTCCACCACTGGAAATGACGTCCGTTGTTGAGCTGTAGTTGGCGATGTACGGCGTCCGTCGTCGATGTTGCCAAATCCCCGAAAAAGATCGCCTGCCACCTGCGGGAATCGAACCTGGGTCCATTGCTTGCAAAGCGGAGGCATTAAGACTGAGCTCTGCTGCATCTTCCACAACCCGCTCTATATTTAAGGGCATTTGTGGTATCTGACGCCCTTGACATGCTCTTTCCATAAAAAACAAATAGCCGGTAACAAAATTCCGTTGTAGCACTGTCAATGATGAGAGCTCTAGCCGGGAGGCTTGCTTTTCACCTGCTCCAGAACAAAGAAAAGAAACAGAAGTGTTTGTGACAAAGTGGTCAAGTGTCTATTTTGTTGCGTACCATATTTTTTTGCGCGAACAAGATGCGAGTGCCCAACGACTTCGCGTGACTTGTCGCAGCTATCGCTGTGACTGTACTGTGGATTAATGCGGGAGTGCTAAATTTTTTGGCACTTCTGCAGATTTTTGCTTTGAGTAAGTGCCACATTACATTTGACACATTACGTGTCAAATATTTTTGCAAAGTTCCGTCATGATCCTTTTATGCTTCCAATGCCTCTTAGACCAGTGGTTCTCAAATGGGGGTCTGCGGATCCTTTTGGGGTCCCTGAATGTGTCCTTAGGGCCTCTGAAGCCCTCAGCTGTCAGTTGGGCTGAGCAATAAAACTATTTTTTTCATTGATGCTTGCTGTGCTATGAAGCTAAATGGACCAAACCATGTGCGCCGAATGAGCAGGGTTGATTATTCTCTGTTTCCAAGCTTCAAAGTTGCTTCAAACTTTACTTCGGTCTATGCAAATCGTCTTAAAAAACTGGGTCGTTGGAAGGAACAAACATGACAGCTCTGTCCTGTCGTGTTTGTTCCTTGCTTCATCTATATTCTTTGAAGCTGATTTTTATCGAATGTAGTCAAGCAAAGTCGAAGCACGCTTTCAAAGCTGTTACTACAGACATCTGAGAAGATGTCTGTAGTAAGGTAAAGATACTGACGTGGTGGAGATATTTTCCTATAAAACAGATTTCAGTACGGACGAGTTTTACAGTAGAGTTTAGTCTCAATAATATGCACCCCGTTAATATTGATATCCCACTACATAGACAACATAATCAAAGACGAACTGGGCAAATACATACTTTTTGTCTCGTTTTTATTGACTACTCACATTATGAATGCCTTTTGTGGGAAATGAAGGTCTCCATATTAATGAGGCACCATGCTAGAACCGCCGTGTTGTTTGTGCCGAGTTCTCGACGCCGCACCAGATTCCTGTTGTGTGGTGAAGCAAGACTTCCCCGACTCCTGTTATGTGTTTCAGCTCTCGCTTGCGTTGGAACCCGACGGCGGCCATCTTCCCCAGCCAATGGGCATGCGGGATGAAGAGGAGGAGTTGCTGACGCAGCAGATCGAGAACCTGCAGAAGGAGAAGTGGGTGCCTTTTCAGTCTACTCTTATCAGCTTGCACGTGGTTTACACGTGCCTGGGTCGTTACACATGCGCGACTTACGTCGGCTATACTAGAGCCACCGAATGTTCTTGGGACGCTGCATTCGGTAGCACACGACGGACCCTCGTCAAGGCCCCGCCGAGCAACATTGGCTGTCCCCATGTCATAAGTATGATTAGATCAGCCCTTCCCTAACGTTGGCGCAGCCCTCGTGCCCAATAAATGCTCAGAGTCCGTGCCCAAACGACGGTGAACTTGGATGACTGGCGCAGCATCTACTAGATGGTGCGCAGTTTTGAAAAGGGTCTATGCAGGCTTGCATTGCTTGGTGTCCTGGCAAACCCAGTAGGGTTTTCTCCCCTAAAATTATCTTATTTCCCGTTGTTTTGTACGAAGCTTCCAACAGCACATGTCTGCTTCATTTTGAATCGTACGTAATAGCCTCTTGTAGAATAGTACGACTCATAAAAAGATTTATGGCAAATTGCTAGGCAATCACGTTGCATACATGAAACGTTCTAGCATCACAAACGTTTGGCGATATTCTGAGTTTCCAGACTCCTATGTTCACAGCGCTCTTCACCTGATGGTTTAACGCACACCATGTTTACACTTGGTGGTTATTCGTAGAATGAAACAATACTACCTTTAATCAGGCTGATAAACTTGGCGATCTTCCAGAGCCTTTTGTACCCCCGAGCTACTCTCCCTCAGTGCGCACAGGTGGTCGAGCTCCTCCTCGCCTACCCCTCTGCTCACATGACCTCCCTGTTAACCAGTGAGCGTTGAACACCTCTCTCTTCCCCCACCTGTCAACCAATCGGCAATACTTTACCAGGGGGAATACAGGCCACTCGGCTCATTTGCATTAGACAGAGTGGTGGCAGCACCGAAATCTCCCCTTGTGGGCTAGGGTCCTCGGCGGCCGACTTCTCTCTGCTCTTTCCTTCTTTCCTCCTCTCTAAACGCCTCTGGGGAACGTGGGCGACAAGGGCGTGTGGGCAATCGACAGCCCGGAACCGGGTAAATCGAGGATCATGGACGCAAACGTCAACTGCGATGCGATGCCTCGATGCCGGTGTAACCGGAAAGCATGCGACACATGTTTAACCGAGTGATGGCTTGCTCATTTTGCTGGCCGTTGTGAAGAAGCAGCGAGAATGGTAGGAATTGCGTGTTCTGTTATCCACTGCAAGAACCACATAGCTTGAACAGAAAAGCCCGTCGTTCTTTCGCTTCCCTCGTCTACATTTGAAGCAATGATTCTCGCCACTCAAAAATTAAGTGGCAAGAAGTTAGGAAACGAACACGTCGTCCTACGATGCCAAACGCGATACATACCTCTTCTGATCGCGAAACCAAAGACCTTGGTGCCAGCGAAACGTGTGCAACGCTTACGAAATATCGAGACCGCAAAAATAAGGTCGCCGACATATGGCATCTTGGGGCACTCGTAACTGTCGCATTACCAACGACTTCACTGTTTACTTTCCTGCTAAATGTGCCTCTGGCTTCTCCAGTTTCCTTACCATTAATTCTGCGTTGCTGTAATGCATGATTGTGACTAATTACACTCGCGGGCAATGTCACGGTGATTAACGCGTCCGGCAGCTTCAAAGGCGCTTGACTAAATTCTAAAAGCCCGCTTAAAAAACTTAACGATTAGAAAAGACCAGGACGACGCGAACGAACTGCACGCACACCAAATACGTGGCCGGTAGCTATGATGCCAACCCGAGAGATGGCGTTGGTTACCGGCCTATTACAAGGGAAAAAACCACAACGCTGCTGCACACCCGGCCATTGAAACACCTATTGTGTTCACAGGGAGTAACCTGCATTCCCCCTAGTAAAGTATTTGCAATCGTTGTGGAGCCTTGCGGCCGCGCTTTTATTCAGGCTTCACTTTTATCTGGGCTTCATGAAATGCCAAACTCCTAGCCAAAGAATGTTTCACGTTAAAATACTGAACATGCCTTAGCAGGAAAGATTGTGCGGCAATTTTTCTTTTGTAGTAACATTTGCCGTCGCGCAGCGATTCTAGGTTTCATCTTGAGAGACCCTGAGCTGCCTTGAATGACATCCGGGGATCTCCCTTCCCGAGCTTCGGTGCAATAATACAGAGTTATCAGTGGTGGAACTGCCATGCCAATTGCGCCAAACTGCGGGCAAGCAGATAACCTGCTACGTGCTGCTCCAAAGGCTGTATCTGTGCACAATTCGCACCACGTCTGCGCCGAAAGGGAGCTGTTCCTGAAGAGGAAACTGAAAGTGTCTGGCACGTAACATTGTTCGCGATGCCAGTGAAAATTAAGAAAGTACAGTTTTTTTCCTTTTTTTATGCCTAAGTACTATGTGCGAAAAGTAGGGCTGCACAAATATTCTAATTATAATGCAATTAAATGCAAAGGGGCAAGCGAGCTGGACAAGAATGATGAAAATAATCCCTGGAGAAGGGGAACCAAGGGACAAAGGACAAACACAAATCTCCAAACACAGCTAGGTGACGGGTGAGCGACCGAAAAAATCCGCCTGGTCCGGGTATCGAACCCGGGACCTCTCCATTACACGTGGAGCGCTCTACCAACTGAGCTAACCAGGGGTTAGACGTCGGTAGAGCAAACGGGTTTTATCAGCTGCCACCAGTCTAACACCAACAAGGGTGAAGCTTGCAATTTAATGTTATAATTATAATGCAATTAAATGCAAAGGGGCAAGCGAGCTGGACAAGAATGACGAAAATAATCCCTGGAGAAGGGGAACAAAGGGACAAAGGACAAACACAAATCTCCAAACACAGCTAGGTGACGGGTGAGTGACCGAAAAAATCCGCCTGGTCCGGGTATCGAACCCGGGACCTCTCCATTACACGTGGAGCGCTCTACCAACTGAGCTAACCAGGGGTTAGACGTCGGTAGAGCAAACGGGTTTTATCAGCTGCCACCAGTCTAACACCAACAAGGGTGAAGCTTGCAATTTAATGTTATAATTATAATGCAATTAAATGCAAAGGGGCAAGCGAGCTGGACAAGAATGACGAAAATAATCCCTGGAGAAGGGGAACAAAGGGACAAAGGACAAACACAAATCTCCAAACACAGCTAGGTGACAGGTGAGCGACTGAAAAAATCCGCCTGGTCCGGGTATCGAACCCGGGACCTCTCCATTACACGTGGAGCGCTCTACTAACTGAGCTAACCAGGGGTTAGACGTCGGTAGAGCCAGGGCCGTAACCAGGGGGGGGGTTAGGGGGTTCTGACCCCCCCCGAAATTTTTTTCTGGGTACGGCCCTGGTCGGTGCACTTGCAGCCAGCCGATTTTAATCTCCACCTCTGCGCACGCGCAGTGGCACCGGTCGGCTACCGGGTACCAAACCGGGACCGGTTCTTCGGTTTGCTATAACTCTCCATTATATGCCACCAATGCACATGATTCATAGGCGAAAATAAGACAAAATGGCCGCCGTTGTTCCCGAAAACCCCCCCCGAAATTTTTTTCTGGGTACGGCCCTGGGTAGAGCAAACGGGTTTTATCAGCTGCCACCAGTCTAACACGAACAAGGGTGAAGCTTGCAATTTAATGTTATAATTATAATGCAATTAAATGCAAAGGGGCAAGCGAGCTGGACAAGAATGACGAAAATAATCCCTGGAGAAGGGGAACAAAGGGACAAAGGACAAACACAAATCTCCAAACACAGCTAGGTGACGGGTGAGCGACCGAAAAAATCCGCCTGGTCCGGGTATCGAACCCGGGACCTCTCCATTACACGTGGAGCGCTCTACCAACTGAGCTAACCAGGGGTTAGACGTCGGTAGAGCAAACGGGTTTTATCAGCTGCCACCAGTCTAACACCAACAAGGTGAAGCTTGCAATTTAATGTTATAATTATAATGCAATTAAATGCAAAGGGGCAAGCGAGCTGGACAAGAATGACGAAAATAATCCCTGGAGAAGGGGAACATTCTAATATTCTAATATTCTAATTAGAACGAATATTCTAATTTTCTAATAGTAGTTTCAAATAATATGTTATTTGATATTCGCTTCCAAATGAACTGCGATATTCATACTTTTCGAAGTGTTGGCGCGGCGGGTTAGCCCCCTTGAGTGCGCTTCTCTTCGAGCACAAGTGCGTGCGCTTCTCCTCGAGCACAAGTGCAGTGCGGAGAAGCAAAACCTGCGGAGCAGGCACAGCAATCTCGTGACTCGCTTTGCCGCAGCGCAGCCGCGCGCTTAGGCGAAAAACACACCTCCAAACTAGTATGGCGCATGCACGCACCTGGTGTATTAAAAAGGAAGGAAACTTTGTGATTGTTAATATTACATTGCAGTGAGATCTTCATAATTTAACTGTGGCTATTATGCGAGGGTATATGTTAGGCAGCGACATTCTAAAAACCTGTGTTCATTATTTGTGCTTTTTCTTTTAAATTCAGAATCAAAGAAAATATCTTTATATAAGAAGATTTATAAATCCCCTCAATTAGGTGTATACTGGGATCCTTTATAGGTTTGATATTATGTCAAATCTGTTATTTACTTGCCATCCCAATGTAAGTACTGGATGTTCTGAGGCTACAGTCTATAAATAGAGCTAGATTAAATTTAACAGAGCTCATGAGTGGGCAATTAGGAACAACCTTCGTGAGTCCAGCTGAACTTTTGTTTAAGCATGGTATGACAGTAGTAGAAGGCGTGGAGGAAGGTGCTAAAACTCTTCAATATTCAATTAAAAAATATTCCTCCAAAATCACTATTCACCTTGAATTTGCTTCGAACCTAAAATGTATTATTTGCACATGCCTAACGAAGAGTTATCGGTTTTTGTGCTAACGGTGCTCACATCGATTGCAATGAGCTGCTAGCGCTAGTCGTTAAGATCGGCTAGAGTAGCTATGTGCTCCGCTTAGCTGCTTTATGAACAGCAGCAAGCTGAATACAAGCGAAGGCAGTGTGAGACACATCCAGCACAGAAGTGTCCGTTTGATGTCGAACTCATGACAATTACGTCACTTATACAAACCCTCTGCAAAGTAGCCAAAAGCATCTTTTTACGTCAAACACAGACCGAAGACGCCATCGGTACCCCTAACAAGTTAATTGAGACATCTACAAAATTGCTGGCGTATGGTTGTTCAATGAATAAGTAAATACCTGTACAGGCCTGTTCTTTTGTAGGCATAATGCTTTGTTTCTCAACGCTCCAACGACTGCAGTTTTTTCTACGGGCTAACTTTCGAAAAGATTCTATAAAACTATGTCATGAAAGCTCAAAATTGTCTGCTCTGAAAGTGAGATTGTATAAAACTTTATGTCGTGAAAGCTCAAAATTGTCTGCTCTGAAAGTGGGAATCTCTGCTCCTAAACCCGTTTTTTCTGCTACAGGAGCTGCTCGAAATTACCACTTGTTAGTTCCACCACTGAGTTACGAATGGCTTCATTAACAACGCTAGGGAGAAAAGGGGCAGTTTCTTGCTCCGAGTGACACGTCGGTGCATTTCTTAGCAATACTTAGAATGGTCGATGGAATTTGGGGGCTCAAAGTATCTCGGAAATGTCACAAGTGCTCTCAGTAACCTAGGGAATTTGACAACTCTTGTTACAGCATACGGCAATAAGTTACATTTCGTGTACATTCTAGGCAGGTGCTGTTAGCGACTCGTAGCGTCGGTTCCTGGGTTTAGGGTTTATCTGCTTTGTGGCGTTGCAGAGCGATGTTGACGACGGTGTTGCCGACGCTCCAGCTGGCCTTGAGCGGGTCAGACGATGACCTTCTGAGCACGGATTTGGACAGTGCCGCTGGAAGCCTGGACGATGTGAGGCCCTACGACGACCCCAATTTGGGTATGTCTCTCTTCCCACCATGGCTGTGGTTGTTTAAAAGCCCGACATGGGAACAGTTTCTTGTCTCCAACCTGTGGTTTCTCAATTTATCAGGCCCAACCACAAGCGAGGACAAAAATATGCGGCGAGGTTGTAGGTACAGTAAAATATGCAGGACGTGACAGATTTTTAAATTTCTTTTCCAGATGAAAAAGTTGTGATTGAGTGACTAGTGTGGTGGAATGTGAATATTTGGAGCATTAGCATGGGCAGTAAGATTTGGCGTTGAACACTAACCTTGTAAAATTATCTAAAAATTTGAATTAATGAGGTTAACGAGCTTACGCTATACGTCTAACGATACAAACAACAAACCAATGTTAAAGAAACTGGTTTTCAAGCTTCATTGAGGGAATGATTATATGATCTTTGAGCGACCCATGAGTCTCTGATTTTGTTAAAGGGGCACGAAAGAGGATTTTTAGGGGCAAAGTTCCTTAGGGTCTAGCCTTGTCCGTCTGTCCGTGCTCACATAAAAAAAAAAAAAAAATGTTTGCGCAGTCGACTGAATTCGAACCTGTGCGGGGAGACCCCAATAGATTTCTAGTTCATCGCCTTAACCACTCGGCCACGACTGCGGGACGAGTTGGGGGCTCTGAGATGTGGTAGTAACTCAAGAGCTGGGATTTCTGTCATGGATGAAATGTTGCATGTAGCTGCTGAACGTCTATACAGGAGAGGGCGCTGCACTCAAATGCGTATATAGTTGCATTAAACTTTGTTTTGGCTGAACATTTATAGACGAGAGGGCGCTGCGGTCAAATGCTCAAATGCGTATATAACCACGTTCCATACCACACATTCTCTTTCCGACATGGACCGGTGGAGATGCGTTCCCACGGCTTCTAGCGGATCCAAGCTGATCCACTAGAAGAACCACTGGCTCTGCATTTCACTGAACGTAAAGCAAAATTAATGAAGTCGAAACGCAACCTGGAACTCAGCACTACCTATGAGCAATAAAAAAAAAAATCAGCACCATCAGCACTACCTATGAACAATAAAATCGGTATCATCAGCAGCACCAGAGCTTCTCCCCAATCAACATCATTCACCACGTGGAGATGCGGTCAGTTTTTTAGTTTGTCTCGTCTTTATATGGTTATACCTCAAACTCAAAATTATAATCATGCACGACCCATCTTAATAAAATAAAATAAAATAATTTTAATGGGACTCTCGCCCCCTCTATTTTTAAGGAAAAGGGAGTTCTTTCAAGCACCGTAAGAAAAGAAAAAGGGGCTTTTTTCTGCAGACGTACCGCATATTTCGAGCTCCTCTCAAATTATGAATATATCTAAAAAGCTGGGGGTCGTACACATGTTAAGTGCAAGAGCAAAAAAAAAAAAAAAAAATGTTTACGATTCCCTGTAATGCCAAATTAGAGTGCAGCTCTTGAGGGGGAGGAGGAGGAGGAGGAGAGGATACGGAGAGGAGGGTATGCCCCTCCTCCACCCTCTCCACCCTCCTCCTCCCCTCCCCCTTCCTCCCTCATGACGTCACTCGTGAAGGTCGTGACCTTCGCTGTGAAGGTCATGACCTTCAAGAGTCACCTTTACGATGTCACGTGTGATGTCATTATGGGAAACGTACGTAATGCGACACGTGGTTATGGCGACGGCGCTCAAGCCGGAAACGGGTGCCTTAGAGCTGCGCTCTAAATATGGAAGTGGTACATGATAAGGTGGGCTTCACCGCTTTGTACCAGTGCGTTTGGAGGTGGGGCTGATAAAAAGGGCTCTTCAGTTAGCTAGGTGGGCTAGAACTCTGGAGTTTCACACATTGTTTGCCTAGTTTCCAAACTTTCAAAAGTGCCATGTAGCCACATATTGCCACACTGGAACAAGCGCAGTGTTTACCAGTCAGTTCCTAAAGAATCGACCACCCGGGTATTCCTGGGTGGGAACCGACTAACGTCGGTCGCTCGTCACAGTGGGTGCAGCCGCAGGACAGCTGGATCCGAGACACCATCCCAAGACAAGGGTGTCGACACCACTGCGACGTCTTCAGCCACGGTTCCCGCCTGGCAGTGATGGCAGTGCCCAAGGCCTGTCCAGTTCGACCCCTGACACCAGCGTGGTGTCGCTGTACAAACCGACCGAGGTGGACGACGAAGCCATCATGGTGTGACACCCGCTGCGCGGACACCCGGCATCCCCGAGTCTCGTGTGGAGGCGAAAGCTCGTCGGAGGAGGGTGTCGTTCGAATTCGAGGCGGCGTGGTTGAACTCATTTGGTTTGAAGTGACGCGCACACCGTGTCGCGTGCTCTGCTACGTCCGCGGCTTAAGCCGGACGCGTTGTGACGTGTGCCGCACGCGTTGCAGGGGGAACGTCGCTCGACGCGTGCGGTTCGACTTTGCAGTTTTTTGTTTTTGTGGAATTTCGCGGCGTGTTTTTACGTTCAACTTCTCACGCGACGAGTCAGCGGTTCTGTTGTTAAACTCGAATGCCTCGCCGGAGTACGCACCTGGTCTTCTCTGAGAGTATTTTGCTCCGGACAGCGAAGAGCGAGGTTTCGGTTTTGCGCGACGCCTGGGATTCCGGTATTTGTCTGGTCAGTGCAAAGACTATCGGAGATTAGAAGTTGGCTAAGGTGACGCCAGTTCCGTGAGCGGAGGTTCGTCTCGAAGTATTCCCTGCGTCGTCTGCCTTCTGCGACGTAGCAACGTTGCGGCTTTTCGCGTTTTCCGTGTCGTCAAAGTAGTGCCAGTGGAGTATAATGTGTGGCTGTTGTCGGTTCTCCCAGGCTGTGTGTTGCCCTCTTGCTTTGCCTTTTCTTAGTGCCTGGTGACTGTCCGTAAAGTAACCGTTCTAGTAAGAGGTGATTCTTTGCTTTCATTCCATGGCCTGACCCCGCAACATTTTGCAGTGCGGCTTCCGTGCCAATTGACTTCTTCCATGCCGATTGACTTCTTCCATTTTGGGTGTAGCTTTTTGTCCACTCTGTGTCTCTTCTTTCCGATTCCACGCCGTGGTCCCTGGAAAGTGTTCTGCATTTTGCAAGTTTCTGACTTTCCAAATGTGGGTTTTAATCTCTGGTCCATTCCCGTAGCATGTGTAGCTTTAAGCGTCCGTCGTTAGAGCGGTAAAAATCTCGATTCCAGAGCCCTCACGAACTCAGCCCGAGCTCCGAAGTTGTATTTGCCGTAGTTTAGTCGTGTTCTGCTTCAATGTTTAGGCTTAGTGCGGAATGTTCTGCTGGGAACAATGTGTGGTAGGTTTTCGAACCCAGAAGGCCTTATTATGAGGAACATGTGCGGGCAGGTTGCTGAGCGCTGAACCGTCTTCCGAATGGCTGATGCATTGGTTGTACCAGATTTTTTTTTCTCATTTTACCAGCGAGGAATGTGAACTCAACTTTTCTATTGCTGTTCGTGTTGTGCGAGGCTGGCGTGACAGTCTTTTTTAAAATGTATTTTTTCTTAATTTTTAAGATATATACATACTCTCCATCCATCTACTGCATTTTCTTCCAGTGTCAAATCACCCCCCACTGTACATGCAAATGTAAGGACAAAATGGCCATAAGCAATGTTTCATCTAGTCAGATCCATACAGCAAATATTCAGGTTTTAATTTCTAACTCAATCACTGTCTTGGTGTGCATCCATTTCCTAAATTTGTTTGGAAGTTTGAGTATGGTTTATGATTTGGAAGTAACGATATCCATGACAATTGCACTGCCCCGGTGCTGACAAAACTTAAAACAGCATTTTATTAAGGCACCAAACAATTTTCCCCCTTTTTTTTTAACATTTGCAGCAATCAACTCAACGGTATTCATTTTTGAACGAGCATAATCATTAAAATGCCTGTCTGAGGCCGTCAACGTTTTAAGCCGCCTTCTGAAGAGAGAGTAGGTGTGTCATGGTGATGTGGAACATTTCTGGAAAGTACCTTACCCTCATATTTTGCTCCTTCAAAATACTACTACTTCATATTGCGAATATTATAATCTACCGCCTCAATGACCTCGTGACTTTTTTGAGATTTAAAATTTTTTTTTAAAGCCATTACGCATATTTTTAAAGCGCCATCCTTTTCTTCAAATTTCTACTCATGTTTGTTTCGTACGACGTCCAATTGTCGCCTCAAGATGCCAAACGCAATGTTGTGTCGCTAGTGTCTTTGGTACCGAAGTACGGAGTGTTGCGTCGAGTGCATCTTCATCCCAGTTGTCAATTTCACTGTCCGAAAACAACACTGCAGTCCATCCGTGCGAAGCAAACAAAAGGAAGAAGAAAAAAAAAGTAAAAAAAAAAAAGCCATCTTGCTTTCTGCTTGTTTTAAATTAATACTTATTTAATCACCAGTGTACTCGCCAGCGTCAAATGTGTCAAAAGCAAGAGAGAGCTATATTTATGACAGTGTTGTCTGTTCAGTGTTAGGTGTTGCATGTCGCGGCTTGTACAGATCGAAGTGCCTTGATTTTACATTGCCGAGGTTTTTGCGAGAGAAACGCAGTGCAATTTAAGGGAGAAGACACAGCGAGGGTTTGGGGGAGAGAGAGAGTTCACTACATTGCCCCAGAACAAAGTGTGTTGAGTGCAAGGCAGGCAATTTGCATTACACATTGTTGAGGTGTTTCTTTTCATTGTTTTTTTTTTCCTTTTTTTTGTTTTGTTCTGGCTACTCATGGCATTGTACATTTTGAGTGTGGCATTGTACATTATTATGCTCAAGTTTTTTGTACACGACGAGAAACAAAATGTCCCTCTCCACGTGAGTGTGTGCTCCGACATTACCTCCGGAAATTAAACACCCACAATGTCAAACTGATCCCTTGTTTGTTTTATTTTCGCGAGTTGGAACTCATAGAAATTTGAGCACATTGATTTGAACTGTGACTTTATGCCTTGCTCAAGAGCAGGTTAGTAATACATACTCTGGTGGGTTTTCGAGCATATCTGGAACTTATGTGATGCACTGTGTCATCAGCTGATCAAGCCCAGTAGTAATGTCATAATCATCTAGCTTGAAGTTATTGACATGGTGTCCTAGATCAGCAGGATAAGACACATCTGCTGAAGAGTCTCGTTTTGAAGCAATGCCATCAAGAATGGAATCCAACACAGCCAGTTGCAGCGAATCCCGGAAAAAAGCTCACCGCAAAATTGGTGGATGCGGAGAAAAGTTTGCTGGCCATCAAGCGTATGCGGAGAAAAGTTCACTGATTCTTTTTTTTTTTTTTATTTTCATGTGGAGGCTGTTGGATCATGCATAACATATATTGATTTGTTGTCATTAAAATTCATCAGCTTTGTACAAAAGAAAATGACCTTTTTTGTAATATTTGTTAAGCTTAATGCTTATATTTAGGGTTCCGCGTTTTCAGTTTTTATATTTTCAAAATTCGGCATACTTTTTTTGGTGTTTATTTTAAAATTAAATTTTCTTTTTTTTTCGGGGTATATTAATGCCCACAAACGTTTACCGGTGTTTTTCTGTGAATATTAAAGAAACGCCATCGGACACCGGCTCAGATGATCCTAGCTGTGATATTTGTGGTCACTCAAAGAATAGTGGCACAGACACATTGAAAAAAACATCGACACATTATTTGGCAAATGTGTGCAACGGTAAAAACCACAACAAAAAAGAACACAAGTACAAACAAGTGAGTGCCCACAAATATATGAAACTTCACCTTCTGTACATCAGGGTTACGTGATCTTATTATAGTACACACACATGTACTTTCCCAGGTTCTCCTCGATTCACGCTCATTCTTTCCTGTTATTCACCCTGGGCTTCGAGAATGCCCTCTCAACTGGCAGGCTGAAGAGATGAAGCGCTGCCTGAGCCAAAATCAGCCAATCAACCAAATGTAACTACAAAAAGAGACACGGTGCGACGTTTTGAAGCACAACATATTTCGTGTGGTTGAAAAAACCCCGAGACTGCGGGTAAACGACACAACACTAAAAAGTCTCTAACACAGCTGAAATTTTTTTTAGTGTTGTGTCGTTTACCCGCAGTCTCGGGTTTTTTTCAACCATGTGCAGTGTACACCAGCTCGTTTGCGCCCTTACTTTTTGTTCATATTTCGTGTACTCGCTGTACTCTGGCTGCAGATCTTGCATGAAGCGAAAAACCCAAACTTTTTTTTTTAAGCACCAGGAACTTGGCACACTAAGCTTGATAATAGAAAGGACACGGATGTCCTGCAAAGGACAACCCAAGACGTCTTTTGTTGCATGTCGAACCTTAGAAGAGTGCAGTCGCGAAGAGGTCACACAATGTCGAACCTTGCAACGCCCTCATTCCCCTCCCCCACCTTCCCCCAGTTCATCTCGACGCGGCCATAGAAAACTGACCATTTTCGGCTAAAAGAGAATTTTAGAAAATGGATTCGGCGTACTTTTATCGGTTTAAACCGAAAACGCCGAACCTAAAAACTGACCTTTTTCGGTTAAAACCGAATTTTCGAAAATGGATTCGGCGTACTTTTATCGGTTTTTATCAGTTTAAACCGAAAGCTCCGAACCCTACTTATATTGCTCCCAAATTAATAATTGTGGGCGAGTGTTTTCTGGAGTTTACTCTCCAGACAACGAAAGCCTAACTAAAAACTTTATGAACTGAATAACAGAAAAAAAAAGTTTGAAAACTTAATGATGTCTGCTTAAAACCTAAAAAGAAAAGCTGTAAATGCCGAAAATCTGAAAGCGCATGCGCAACAGCGCAGTGCCTGAAATTCTCTTCGAAGCTTTTGTTAACCTTTGAAAACAGAATAGAACAGCCAGTAGGATATCGAGGTTTCTTTCTTCTAAGAACATGCCCGTTCTCTAGCCTTCATGCTGGTGTTTCCACACGTTGCCTTTGTGTGATAGTGCCCTCCTACGGCGAGCCACCCATGACCTTCAGAGCTGCACATTGTCACCGTTGTTATATCGTGACCTATATAAGAACTAGTCTTCTGTAAAATAGCAAATTGGGCAGTTGGTAAACATTATACATGATAAAATTTCCGCTCAAAGGACGAACACGGAGTGAAGACAACAGACACGACAGGACTAAGCTGTTCTCGCAACTCAAGTTTTATTAGTGAAAATAACAGAAAGAAAGCGGCGTAGCCGACACTGATTACATCCTTGGGCGTCCGCAGAGGGGTGCAAGCGGGAGGGGGGCAGTTGCTCCCCCCCCCCCCCCCCTCTTCCCCCTAAAACGATGCAGGGAACTCGGCGGCACGGATGCTCACGCAAAGATTAGAAAGGCGCTGTTAAGACAAAATCGGTAAAGCTGCATCGTCATTTTCCAAAACGGGTGGTGGCTCACTGTTCTACTGTCGTTGAAGTTGCGGCCCACCAACTTTAAAAGCTTCCTCAAAGCGCACAACTGCCTCCGCTTTTTGAGGTACCACTGCATTACTAACGCGTGCCGGCTAGACGAAACAAAAGGATAACTATACTGTCAAAAAAAAAAAAAGAAAAAACGACGTCGAAAAGTTGGAGCGTACGTCAAAGCCGCCATTGAAATGGCCGAGATAGCGGCGGGAGTTGAAATTCAGCGAGTAACAAGTCGGCAACGTAACAAGTCGACCCCCCTGCCTCAAGGCCCTGCCAACGTTGTACCGGCTTCGGATCTGTCGCCCTTTCATCTCTGGTACTTTGTTCTTTTGTGGCAGGCATAAGTTCGCCTCACTAAACGTTTATTTTCTGGTCCGAGTTCACCAGCTCATTTTAATTGGCGAGGGTATTGCCATTCTGTCACTCGCCGCAGTCGAAAGAATTTGCTTTCAGTACTTCAAGTGTAACAATGCGATCGAGAAAGTTCCGGTTTCGTAGGGCAAACTCGCTAAAGTCGTCTGAGGAAAGTTTTCAAATGTAAAATTGCGAAAATGCGACAAAGAAACTTGCTAGGTGCTCCTGTAGAGGGTGGTTGAACTGTTGAAACCGTTATTGTCGTAATGCTCGGAAAAATATTCGGTTTCGGTTTTGGAGGCTGCAGCGAAAGCCGTCTGCTAATCGGCAAAAAATAAAACTTAAAACTTTTTTTTTTTTTTTTTTTAATAACGTGCTAAACGTGGCAACAGTTTCATAATTTGAGCCTTTATAGAATTTAAGATAAAAAAAAAAAGTTTCGTATAGTAAACCTGAGGAGTGTTGAGCCAGTTTCCTCTTGATGGCTGTGTGCTGTTAGCAGACGGTCCTTAGAACTCCAAGTATGGCCCACGCAGATTTCGCCGTCTTCATAATAACGCTTTTATAGGTTAAAAAAAAAAGTTTATTTCTACTTATTTTAGTATTACTTAGGTAAACGTGTGTCCTAAAAGCACTCTGATGTACCGATATTTCACGAATCGGCACGGATATTTCACGAATCGCAGACAAATTTAATTACAAAAAAATTCCAAACTTTTTTTTCCTTTTCTTTCTTTTTTTTCTTTTCTTTATTGTCTGAATCTATAAATCTTCTTTTATAAACATTTTGCATTCCTGCGTGTGATGGTCAGTCTGCGTTCGTGAAGTTTGAGAAAAGGGAGGGCGTCCAAGTTAGTGCTGTTTCAATGCAGTATATAATATTTTTATATATGTGTCGTCATGAACACAAACACACGATTTTATTTAATCTAAGAGAGGCCGACTTGCGTCAACGCATAAAGGCACACAACGAAAGGGTCGCAACCTTACAGAAGGAGCATTACCAGCTACGACGCCAGCAACAAAGGAGACCCTCGCCGACCCCATCTAACTGTGGGAGACAAGAAGAAAACGAGACAGAATCAGGTGTTACCAGTCTTGGATAAGTTACTTTTAAAAAGTAATTCGTTACAGTTACCGCAATAAAATAGTAACTCGTTACAGTTAGTTACTTTTAAAAAGTAACGACGATACTTCTCAGTTACTTTTCTACAACACAAACAATTTAGGAGAAACTCGAAAACGCTCCTCGCCAAGTTTTATTGCATAAAATTAAAAAAAAGTGCACTTTATACTTCATATTGTAACTTAGCAGCAGTTGCTTCTAGAAGGTTTTGTCTCAAAGTTTCCCTTGTTTGATGGCGAACACGTCCCTGCCCTTGCTTTACAGGCGCTCATCTGGCGCGCTGGAAAGAATTGCACGGGGGCAAACGCGGACTCAATACAAATGCCCTATCCTTGGTAGCGCTAGCAGATTGCTGTCTCGTTGACGGTTCCGCTGGAAATTTATAGAGTCGCTGGACATATTTTAGTTTGTACCCGGCAAGCCAGGAACAAACCCAGCGCAAACAGCGATAAATTTTGCCTCGACTGTTGACATCACGCCGGAGTAGTTGCGCACATCAAAATACGAAACATGCGCATTAAGTAGTAGTGGCATTAATCAAAATACAAAACATGTTCGGTGCCCTCCGCGTCTATTGTTGATTCACGGTTGATTCACCCGATTAAAAAGCGTTTGCGCAGAGAAAGGAACAACCGCAACATAGATAGTGCTTCAAGACACTTCGATGCAAGTGTTCAGTCACAAAGTACAAGCGCGTCCGTAAAGATGACCTAGATTTTTTTTCATCAAATTTACACGTGCCTATATTCGGGTTGTGACTCGCGAAAAAGAACGCATTTACAAGTTTGTGCAAGGCCAACTTGACACTCGAAATGTCGGAAAAGACAATTTGGAAAGTGCAAGGAATAGCTAGATTGTACTCGTTCAATGATATATTACTCATAAAATAACTTACGAACTGTAAAAATTATGAACTTGTCAACTACGGGTATGTATAAGACACAAAAACAATGCAATAATATTTTTTGCACATCGTGCTCATAGATGCCATTGGCGTTATTTTGGAAGAG